TGAGACAGACTGATCTCCCAGAAACCACAACAAACCCATATCCCCAGTTAATATTTGGTTGATTAACTGGGGATTAATATTTGATTAACTGGGGATTATCATAAATCAAATTTCCCCAGTTAATCCTCATTGGTTGTCCCTATGTCTATAGTCAGGGCAGCGCGGTGACCGTGATCGAGTCATCGAGTCCCGGGCCCATCATGGCTGCCTCCCGACAAACGTTGGTGACATCTGCACCTGACGAACTGTTGAGGCAGGAGAAAGTCAAGGTGATATCTGGAAGTTATGGACAGTCGATGGGGAATCACATGCCCTTAATTAGTGAAAGTATGGTCAGGATGATAATTATTCACCATTCTACTAAGGATATAGTGGGATTCAAAGTCTTGGGGCTAGCTTTAGCATATATATATATAGTAGATTCTTATGCTAGAACCAGCAACAGTGGTCGGGCATGACCATTAGTTCTCTCTCCAAAACATTGATCGTTCATAAGGCTAAGACCACTAAAACATTAATGTGGTTCCATGAAAACGTTTCTGAAAACATGACAGCCCCGATGGGAAAAAAAACAAACAAACTACCAGCCAGTGTATTTTCTTGTTGGTTGGATGCCAAAGAACCATAAATTCAATGTGAAGGCCCTTAGGCTACAGTACGCGGAATGCTAGCTTCCTGAACATTTCGAGTCAATTTGACTTATTCCATCTGCAAACACCACTTTGCATTCTATCAATTATTATTACTATCATTTACTATCTATAATTCACTATCTTTATCATGATTTAAACAAAAGAAAGTGCAAAATTCTGCCGTCACTGCCACAGCTGAGGCCCTATGCCACTGTAGCCTTTGGTCTTGTCCACCAATCCCTGACAGTGACTCCAACATCCCGGGATATCCCGGGTATGGCGGATGTCATGGATTTATTTGTCATCATAAAGACGTACAATGGATACCCTCTGGTAATTTAACATAGCTATTGAAAATGGCCATTTATAGTGGATTTACCCATTAAAAATGGTGATTTTGCATAGTTATGTTAGTTTACCGGAGGGTAATTTTCAGAGTAATGTGGGTAAAAACAATGTCATGTTTACCACCCATGGCTAGGAATGGTAAACATACCACCTATAAAAATTGTGATGACTGGGGGATGGTTTATTGTTGTTTTACCCGCATTAAGGCAAGGATATTTGATATTTCATGATTTTTCCAAAATATAATGGATACAGAAGAGGCTCTCAACCCGAACAAATTTTGGGCCTGTCTGATGCAGAAAGTGTTCACAAGAGTCAAGTGATATGTTGCCAACTTGCCAATCTAAAATGATGTCATTCTTTGTTCCAGGTTTCTAGGAATGGAGCGCGCAGATTGGTGTTATATGCACACATATATATATCGTATATAATGTGTATATATATATGTATATCACATATTTCCACTGGATTCCACTGGCCTATATCACACAGTCGCTGGGTTTCCAGTCTCAAAACAGTCGCCCTGCCGTGCTCCCCGACTGGAATGGCCACGTCTGTGCCAAGTTTCACCTTTGCACAGGAAGTGTGTGGTGCAACACGTTGCCATCGAACTGGCAGTTCATTAATGTGGTTAAAACAGCAATAAACCACCCCATGTTTGATGGTTAATACATGTTAATACATGTTAATACCACCCATTTCTGGTAAACCTGGGGATGTTTGATTATTATCATTGTTATTATTATAGTTTTAACCAGATTATATAAATAATTTGATGTATTGAATTCACATACGTGCTATTTCATGAAAAAACATGGTGATTGCTGCAGGAGGCAACTTCGAGGCATTTTTTCTTCCAATCTTTCCATTTTTCGTCGAGCCATACTTTTATGAATCACTAGATATAACTGGTTGGTGGTATACCTACCCCTCTGAAAAATGATGGAGTTCGTCAATGGGAAGGATGACATCCCATGTATGAAATGGAAAATGAAATTCATGGTTTGAAACCACCAAAAAGATATATATAATGAATGTATAGCCTAGCTGTGTATTAATGTCTTAATGTGTACTGTGGATCTGCAGTCAGCCCACGGGAACCCAAAAAAACCGCTTGGATCACCATCACTTGGCACAAAGAGGTCCGCCTCACGTAGGTTGATTTCAAAGAGCTGCTTGCGGCCTCCCAGGTGTGGTGCTCCACGGATTCATGTTTTCCCATATTTTTCCCATATGCTTTCCATATGTTTTCCATATGTTTTCCATATTTTCACATATTATATTATCCCATATGTGTTCCATATTTTCACATATTTTCCCATATTTTTGCTATATTTTCCCTATTAAAAAGTTGTAAAAACATGTGCATTTGGGTGGTGTACTCCATTTTCAGACACACAAAAATCTTGTGATATGATAGGAGATTCGTCCAGAAACATGACAAACATCACTACCCCCTTTGTTTTGGTCACTGCCATCGATTCGCACCTTCAGCCTCTGGCAAGGGAATGTAAATCCGCCTAGCCAGAGAACATCTGGAAATCATGGGGCAAACATGGGGAATTTCGCCGAAAAGAATGCGTGACTTCACCATGAAAAATATGGAACAAAATATAGGATTTAAGCGTCAACAACGTGGATGTAACATCGAAAATAACGTGGATTTCCTAGTGAAATAGTGATCAGTAGGGTAATAGTACTATAGTACTAATAGTGATATGGATTTCCTACTAATAGACTTCTCCATATCTTTCCCCCTTTTTGGGTAAGTGACCGTAGCAACAAAAATGCTGACCATTCAACTACGCTTTTTCGCTGGGCTCCGTACTTCTCCAAACGCCTTGGGCGGTGATGGGAAATCCATAGCTAGCGGTTTACCAAAGCAAATCCATGTAAACATTGCAATGGTGGATAAAGTTTTCATGGGTTCAATGTGTAATGTGAATGATCATGTGTAACGTTGATGATAATGTTGCAATGTTAATTATTTTGGATTATTTATAAATAATAGTTTGCCCCAGTGTTCAGACGCATTATTTTGTGTTGTTCAATGTGTCTTCCTTGCCATTGTTTTTTTGTGGCGGATTCTGAAACGTTTTGGGTGCCAACGTTCACTGTGGCTGTCTGTGTTCTACAGTGGGGTAGACAATTGTTATCCCGGATATCCCTGTTGTGTTTTCTGTGTGGTTCGCAATTTGGGTTGGTGATGAATTCATGGTATGCCTGGCAAGATGTTATGAGGATTTGAAAGGTAATCATTCTTAGTCTCCAAAAACCCAGTCCATCCTACCATTATTCTGAATGCTATTCCATCCTACCATGTGGTCAATATTTGAGCTCATCTACTTTGTTTAGCTGTCTTAGCAATCCTGCCGATAAACAGCTCTTAATCAAGTCAACCAGATTATCACACATCTTCTTCATAATAACGATAGAGTTCATATGACAATTTGGGGTAAGTCACGTTCGCTCTTGGAGGTGTCAAAGACTGATTTCCATGAAAACAAGATCATTCCAAGGAAGTATGGAATGACCTGTGACAAATCCATTCTCACTTTGCTTTGTTTTCTTATATATTTCTGTTCATCGTATTCTTCCTCTTCATCTCATGGCAACCGATGACCTAAGTCAGCACTCACTCTGACTTTCTCTAAAGTAGTATTTTTTTTTTTGCTTTGCTCTGGGCAGTTTCTGTATATGGCAAGCGGCTCTGGTGTATTTTAAGTATTCAGAACCCTGAAAATGAGCTGTGGACGTAAGTTACAACCAAATTTCCGATAATAGTTGTTTTTTCTGTTCTTTAGAGAAATCCTTGTCTCACGGACAGAAAATCCACGTACTTCACTATACGTCATCTTCAAAAGCACACAATGCGCTAAACTAATTAACTAACTAACCAACCAACCAACCTCTATATATATATACAGAGAGAGAGCTATATATATATATGTATGTACACATAAAAAAAAATAGAAAGCTCATACTTTCCGTGGGGAATGGTCCATAAATATCTATAAATGATGAGTTCTCCATATTTTTCTTAATATCATTTTCTGTCGGGTTCAGGAAGGATCCCCATTAGCTGTGTAAGTTGATAGAAAAACCAATAAAACTCCAGATATATCTATCATAAATATTCATAAATCATGGTTGGCTTAGGCTAGGCATCAACCAACTTGCCTATCTTGGGATATCAAACGGGGGGCCCTTCCTGTACAATCCCAATGAGTTCGTGCCCTCGCTCTGCACCTCCGCAATGCTTCGTCCAGATCCCAGGGTCGATTGGTGGCAGCCAACACCATGACCTCTGATAATGGGATACTGTTGGTTGGTCATTGGGGGTCATCCTTTGTATCTGGGCCAAAACGCCGCGAAAAATGGTGGGTTGATACACAATTTGATTGATGAAAATTCATTCACCAGCCCGAAGTGTTGGTTGCTTTCCTCTGGGAAACCCTAGAATAGCTGCATATGATGTTCTTATTCTACAGGAACTCATACAATCTAAGGGATGGAACATTCAACATTGATGCATCCTTTCCTTCCCCCATAGGCTTTTCCATATCTGACCCGAGTGCATGTCCAAAATTCATGAAGGCAGGAGGCCAACAGACTTTGAACTCGCCAGGCACCAGGTTTTTTTGATAGAACATATGAAAGTAGGCCCGGTTGAGCCCATATTTTGCAAGTTGCAAATGCTCATGATTGAGTCAGTAAGCTACCTAAGCGTCAGATACCCTCTGGTACTGTAACATATAGAAAATCCACCATTCTTTATAGGTAAATCGGTAAATCCACCATTTTTGATGGGTAAATCCACGATTTCTATGGCCATGTTCCATGTCGGTGCCGAGCTTTCCCGAGGAGGTGCCTGTCGGGTGCCTTCAGTGCCCTCTTCGGTACCAACACCTCGGTGTTTTTGGATAGAGCACTGTAGTCAATCAGCCATCTATTGTATGTGTATATCTACATATGTACATATATATATATATATATGTATATGTATATATGTATATTATACATAATATATATATATATATACATTGATGGGGGTTATATTGTATATATATATATGATTGTATATGGCTTCATCCATGTTTATCCCATTTGCAACTGAGTTGCAAGATGTGATAACAATGGCTATCAACTACCCACCAGGATGAAAATATGGTTGTTGCATAAGCTATGGACTTCTGTGATTGCTTGGGCTGGCAACAACTCCTGATGCTGTCTGTGACCCAAACAATGCAGCCTTCAAAACACGGGGGGATTACACATCATCACGAGGATATATGATCCTCTGATCATTTTACATAGCTATGGAAAATCATGTTTAATAGGGAAATCATCGAACTAGATGGCCAATTACCTTCATTTATAGATGATTTATGATGATTTATCTACCATCTGGTTATTTAACAGTTCGCCATGGAAAATCCACCCATTTACCATCTATAACCAGGTAAACCATCTATTTCTATGGGCCATCTATACCATGGCGAACTGTTAGTCATAACCAGAGGGAAATCACCATTCATTCACCATTAATCACCACTAATCACCATTCATTCACCATTCATTCACCATTAATCACCATTAATCACCATTAATCACCATTCATTCACCATTCATTCACCATTAATCACCATTAATCACCATGAATCACCATTATTCACCATTAATCACCATTCATTCACCATTCATTCACCATTAATCACCATTAATCACCATTAATCACCATTAATCACCATTAATCACCATTAATCACCATTAATCACTGTTAAATTACCATTAATCACCATTAATCACCATGAATCACCATTAATCACCATTAATCACCATTAATCACCATTCATTCACCATTCATTCACCATTAATCACCATTAATCACCATTAATCACCATTCATTCACCATTCATTCACCATTAATCACCATTAATCACCATGAATCACCATTATTCACCATTAATCACCATTCATTCACCATTCATTCACCATTAATCACCATTAATCACCATTAATCACCATTAATCACCATTAATCACCATTAATCACTGTTAAATTACCATTAATCACCATTAATCACCATTAATCACCATTAATCACCATTAATCACCATTAATCACCATTAATCACCATTAAATCACCATTAATCACCATTAATCACCATTAAATCACCATTAATCACCATTAAAAGTGGTGACTTTCGCCGCCAAAAAAACGGTGCCGTGGACTCGGGCCATCCATCTGGACCAAGAGCTCTGCTTTGACCTGCGAAAACTGGGGGATCTTTGCACCGCAATGTACCGTGAATACTACGGTAGTACATTAGTGTATACCCTCTGGTAATTTAACATAGCTATAGAAAATCACTATTTTTAATTGGAAAATCCACTATAAATGACCATTTTCCACTATAAATGACCATTTTCAATAACTATGGAAAAAAACAGTAGATCCAGATGAATTATCAACAACCAATACTAAACTTCTAAACAACTATTTTTGACAAATGGTCATATACATGTATACAGGGAGTTGAATCATGAGAATTTTTGGGCACTTCTATGAGCCTTTCTGGTTGGTGGTATACCTACCCCTCCTGAAAAGTATTCGTGAGTTGGGAAGGATTATCCCATATATTATGGAAAAATAAAAAATGTTTGAAACCACCAACCAGATTAGTGTATATACTACATAAGATATGGGAGCGGAATGAAACTTGAAATTTCAGCGAAAAAAGTGCTACAAGGTGTGGATGTAGCTTCACAGTTTTCATTTTCAAGAGAAAAGCATGGGTAACAAATGGTTCCAAACCAACAGGCAAGATGTAGGCTCGGTGGTGGATCAAAACCATGGTGCTCTGGTGAACATCAAGATAGCTTGTAAGATCATCTATGGGATTCATCTATAGTAATGTTTATATCATGATCAGGCATTGAGGTTCATGATCATGCCATCTTGTTCTACGTATTACATTATTACAATGGCAAATGACGGTATTCGTCGGGTTTGATCCATCTCTGCAATATGACAATATGCAATATGACATATCATATATAATATATATATATACAAAAATTGTGCAATGCATTGATGGGTTGTTCTCCCAGTTATGTGCAGTTACACCTGATCAAGTTATTCCGCAACGGAAGGTTACAACTAATTACAACCACAATAACTAGGTCTTAGGTGACCCGTACTCTGATAAAGTGAATATATAATATACTGGAAACCTTGTATAATATAGAATTAAATTAATTACAATTATACGTGTATATATACATACAGTACATACGTAGATTTATTTATACAAATCAACATGGTGTATGATTCGTGCGCTAGCCATGAGGATTCGGACACCGAACATGAAACACGTCCTAATACTGGAGTCCATGCCCATATCACTACGAGATCTACACCAGACGAGATCTAACATAGACCCGGGCAAGCCGGCGGCGGAAGTTTCCCAAACATAAATGACCTATAGTTCAAAGACACCCTGTCCCGACCGTGTCCTTCCCTCGACACTCCACACCTCACACTGCACACTGCACTCTTCGCACTCCAAACTTCAAACTTCACACTCCACACTTCACACTCCACACTTCTCACTTCTCACTGCTTCCTTGACACTCCAAACCTCACACTTCACACTTCACACTGCACACTTCACACTTCACAGTCCACACTTCACACCTCACACTTCACAGTCCACACTTCACACTTCACACTTCACAGTCCACACTTCTCACTTCTCACTTCGCACTTCACACTTCACACTTCACACTCCACATTTCACACTTCTCACTTCTCACTGCTTCCTTCACACTCCAAACTTCACACTTCACACTTCACACTCCACATTTCACACTTCTCACTTCACACTTCTCACTTCTCACTGCTTCCTTCACACTCCAAACTTCACACTTCTCACTTCGCACTTCACACTCCACACTTCACAGTCCACACTTCACACTTCTCACTTCTCACTGCTCCCTTCCCACTCCAAACTTCACACTCCAAACTTCACACTTCTCACTTCGCACTTCACACTCCACACTTCACTCACACTTCACACTTCACAGTCCACACTTCACACTTCTCACTGCTTCCTTCACACTCCAAACCTCACACTTCACACTTCACACTGCGCTCTTCGCACTCCACACTGCACAGTCCACACTTCTCACTTCACACTTCTCACTTCTCACTGCTTCCTTCACACTCCAAACTTCACACTTCTCACTTCGCACTTCACACTCCACACTTCACAGTCCACACTTCACACTTCTCACTTCTCACTGCTTCCTTCCCACTCCAAACTTCACACTCCAAAACTCACACTTCACACTTCTCACTTCGCACTTCGCACTCCACACTTCACACTTCACAGTGCTTCCTTCACACTCCAAACTTCACACTTCTCACTTCGCACTTCACACTCCACACTTCACAATCCACACTTCACACTTCTCACTTCTCACTGCTGCCTTCACACTCCAAACCTCACACTTCACACTTCACACTCACTCTTCGCACTCCAAACTTAAACTTCACACTCCACACTTCTCACTTCCCACTGCTTCCTTCACACTGTACACTTCACACTGCACTCTTCACACTCCACACTTCACACTGCACTCTTTGCACTCCAAACTTCACACTTCACACTCCAAACTTCTCACTTCTCACTTCTCACTGCTTCCTTCACACTTCACACTTCACACTGCACTCTTCACGCCCCACATTTCACACTACACTCTTCACACTCCACAGTTCATCTCATCTGAGCTCTTCTCACCTTATCCCAGCTCATCTCTTCTCATTTCGTCCCTTCTCATATGTCATCTATTAAGCTTTCATTCATCAATTCCCAGCACTACTACTAATCACTGTCGAACCCTTGATGCACCTACTCCAATACGATTTACGAAGTCCAGTTGCAAAAGACAATAGTATTGCGCATGCAGCCGCGGCACCAAGCAACCTTGACGCAGCCATTACAATGCGATCTGCAGAGACTGAGTTGCAAAACACAATAGAACTACGCACAACGGCGTCGGAAATTGTAGCTCCAAAACCGGATCTCGACGCCAGAGCGAAAAAAAAGAAGAAACTCACTGGCGCCAAAATGGAGAAAATCTGCTGACAAATCAATGTCGCAGCCTTCATGCAGCCACTCCAATACGATTTACGAAGTCCAACTGCAAAAGACAATAGTATTACGCATGCAGCCGTGGCAAGAAGCAACCTTGACGCAGCCATTACAATGCGATCTGCAGAGACTGAGTTGCAAAACACAATAGAACTACGCGCAACGGCGTCGGAAATTGTAGCTCCAAAACCGGATCTCGACGCCAGAGCGAAAAAAAGACGATTTTGAAGCACTTTTTAAAAAGATTTTTAGAAGGAAAATCACTAGCGCCAAAATGGAGAAAATCTGCTGACAAATCACTGTGGCAGCCTTCATGCAGCCACTCCAGTACGATTACGAGATCCAGCTGAGACCGTCTCGCACCCGTCGCACCGCAGAGGTAGATCATCGAGGTTCGGGGACGCACTTTGTATGGAAAAACATAGGGTTTCGTGCATCTGCTATCTCTCAAAAACGCATTTCGTGCGAGACTTCCTCCAAAACTCCATCGGCAACTCCTCCACTTGCACCACTTGCAATCCCATTTACAGTGAGGGAACGATCCTAGAGTTGCAAATCACAATGGAATTCCATCGGCAACTCATCCACCAGCACCACTTGCAATCCCATTTACATTGCAGGGAACGATCCTACAGTTGGCAAATCACAAATGGATTCTGTCGACCCACACATGCACGAAAAACAGTTGAAACCCCATTTACAATGCGGAACCGATCCGAGAATGATCCGAGACCATGATCCGACCACACACGAGACCGTCTCGCAACCGTCGCACCGCAGAGGTAGATCATCGAGGTTCGGGGACGGACTTTGTATGGAAAAACATAGGGTTTCGTTCATCTCCTATCTCTCAAAAACGCATTTCGTGCGAGACTTCCTCCAAAACTCCATCGGCAACTCCTCCACCAGCACCACTTGCAATGCCATTTACAGTGAGGGAACGATCCTAGAGTTGCAAATCACATGGAATTCCATCGGCAACTCATCCACCAGCACCACTTGCAACCCCATTTACAATGCGGGAACGATCCTACAGTTGCAAATCACAATGGAATTCTGTCGACCACACATGCACAAAAAACAGTTGAAACCCCATTTACAATGCGGAACCGATCCGAGACCGATCCGAGAATATCCGAGCATGATCCGACCACACACGAGACCGTCTCGCACCCGTCGCACCGCAGAGGTAGATCATCGAGGTTCGGGGACGCACTTTGTATGGAAAAACATAGGGTTTCCTGCATCTGCTATCTCTCAAAAACGCATTTCGTGCGAGACTTCCTTCACAACTCCATCGGCAACTCATCCACCAGCACCACTTGCAATGCCATTTACAGTGAGGGAACGATCCTAGAGTTTTAACTCTTTCTTTGACTAACTCTTTCCCTGACTAACTGTTTCTTTGCTAACTCTTTCCCTCACTAACTCTTTCTTTGACTAACTCTTTCCCTGACTAACTGTTTCTTTGTCTAACTCTTTGTTTGACTAACTCTTTCTTTGACTAACTCTTTCCCTCACTAACTCTTTCTTTGACTAACTCTTTCCCTCACTAACTCTTTCTTTGACTAACTCTTTCCCTGACTAACTGTTTCTTTGACTAACTCTTTCTTTGACTAACTCTTTCCCTGGCTAACTCTTTCTTTGACTAACTCTTTCCCTGACTAACTGTTTCTTTGCTAACTCTTTCTTTGACTAACTCTTTCCCTCACTAACTGTTTCTTTGCTAACTCTTTCTTTGACTAACTCTTTCCCTTATCTCTTTCTTTGACTAACTCTTTCTTGACTAACTCTTTCTTTGACTAACTCTTTCCCTGACTAACTGTTTCTTTGCTAACTCTTTCTTTGACTAACTCTTTCCCTCACTAACTCTTTCTTTGACTAACTCTTTCTTTGACTAACTCTTTCTTTAACTAACTGTTTCTTTGACTAACTGTTGCTTTGACTGACTCTTTCTTTTACTAACTCTTTCTTTGACTAACTGTTTCTTTGACTAACTGTTTCTTTGACTAACCCTTTCTTTGACTAACTGTTTCTTTGACTAACTGTTTCTTTGACTAACTGTTTCTTTGACTAACTCTTTCTTTGACTAACTCTTTCTTTGACTAACTGTTTCTTTGCTAACTCTTTCCCTCACTAACTCTTTCTTTGACTAACTCTTTCCCTGACATTCTAAAAGTCCGTAACACGGAAGTTTCTCCCCCTAAACTTCCTTTGACAAGTTTTATGAAAAATTATTGAGTTCTACGGATAGTTATTGAATGTTATTGAGATCTACTAATATGAAGATCTACTACTCAATCTACAATTTCATGTCATTGAGAAACTCAATTCGCACTCTTCATGGGGAGCATGTCGATACACCACCGGATAGTCTCTACATCCCATGAAAGTTGCCGATGAAGTGTATCCCATGACATGGGCGTAGTAATTATTCAACCAGCCACTATTGGTTATATATGGTTGTATAATTGGGATATCAATCATACATTGGAGATTTAATCAACCATGACATCATAGATTCCAATCAAATAGCATCCAAAACACAACCTATCATATTGTTGGTTGGCTAGAATTACTATATCCGTCTATATCCCATTCAGATAACCATATCAACGCTAATGTCAGCCCTTACATATTTTGGATATATCATCAAACAAGGTCTCATTTAGGATATATAACTGCGGGATATAATTCAATCAACACATATTTGGGATATTAGTAGCCATATATTATCATCTATATTATATATAATGGTGTGTATCCTGTCCTGAACCCATATTTGGATATATTTGGTGTATATATTATAGTTCTATATGTATGGACCATTATGGACCTGTATGTAGTTTCCATAAATGGGGGTACCTCAAAATGCTTGGTTCATATTCTGCAAAATCCTAAAATGGAATTGATAATAGAAAATCTGAACATCTGGAAAAAAAGGATGATTTAGTGTGTACCCTCATGACTTAGGAAAGCTCCTAATCGAGGTTTCAATCTTTTTCGGCCAAGCTGCACGGCGGGAGGCTTCATGCTCACTGGCGTCCCCGCGCTTGCTGCCAAGCCTGGCACTGTAAAAATCAGATTTCGTGAAGATCGTGATGGATATTAAATCATGACAACTTGGGGAGTGAAAACATATGAACCAATGTAAATGTACGAACATGATCCGACTGTAAAGGAAAAACTGGCAACTAGCATCAACAAGAACCTGGATGACACCAACAATTCTATTATATACATAAAGGATCATAAAGAATCATGGAGACATAGAAAAAGCAAACCTCAAATTAAAAAATAAAATGCACAGGGATCAAGGTTTCGATCAGAATAAACCATGCGATGTTTGATCCTCATGGGCTGCTATAAGGCTACAAGGCGCTAGGCAGGCCACTTCAACACTACAAGTAGAACACCCTGTAACATACTTCAACAACCACACAGAAAATGGAACGAAGTGCAGTGTTTGGCCGAGAAATCTTATCCATCTGAATGTGTTAGACCACGGCAACCAGACTTAGACTATCTTAGACCTGTCTCCTGAGTATAGTGGTCAGTAGGCCAGTACAAATAGCCTCTCACCGTGGAGTGATTCAAGAGAGTCTTGTCTGCACTGCGCGGCACCCAACTCTCATGTGGAAGAGTCAGGTGTTTGACAGCAGTACAGAATCGTACAGGTGCCTTTTTCAGCTGAACCTGTCATGACAACACCTCAGATACAGTATGTTCCTGCTCCAGTCACACGCAACCAATCGCTGCAGTTAGAGAATTTCCACCAATTATCTGGCGACACCAGCCTTGCCAAATATGCCAAATCGCAGACTCAGATAGGAGCGAAAGACGTACAAAGCAATCTTCACAGTTCCAATCAGAGTGAACTATGCGATGTTTCATCCTCATGGTCTGCTATAAGGCTACAAGGGGCCACTTCAGCACTAGAACACGGTAACATACTAGAACAAACAAGAACAAAGTCGAACAAAGTGCAATGTTTTGCCGAGAAATCGTATCCATCTGAATCACGGCAACCAGACTTAGACTATCTTAGACCTGTCTCCTGAGTATAGTGGTCAGTAGGCCAGTACAAATAGCCTCTCACCGTGGAGTGATTCAAGAGAGTCTTGTCTGCACTGCGCGGCACCCAACTCTCATGTGGAACAGTCAGGTGTTTGACAGCAGTACAGAAGAGTACAGGTGCCTTTTTCAGCTGAACCTGTCATGACAACACCTCAGACACAGTATGTTCATGATCCAGTCACACGCAACCAATCGCTGCAGTTAGAGAATTTCCACCAATTATCTGGCGACACCAGCCTTGCCAAATATGCCAAATCGCAGACTCAGATAGGAGCGAAAGACGTACAATGCAATCTTCACAGTTCCAATCAGAGTGAACTATGCGATGTTTCATCCTCATGGCCTGCTATAAGGCTACAAGGGGCCACTTCAGCACTAGAACACGGTAACATACTAGAACAAACAAGAACAAAGTCGAACAAAGTGCAATGTTTTGCCGAGAAATCGTATCCATCTGAATCACGGCAACCAGACTTAGACTATCTTAGACCTGTCTCCTGAGTATAGTGGTCAGTAGGCCAGTACAAATAGCCTCTCACCGTGGAGTGATTCAAGAGAGTCTTGTCTGCACTGCGCGGCACCCAACTCTCATGTGGAACAGTCAGGTGTTTGACAGCAGTACAGAAGAGTACAGGTGCCTTTTTCAGCTGAACCTGTCATGACAACACCTCAGACACAGTATGTTCATGCTCCAGTCACACGCAACCAATCGCTGCAGTTAGAGAATGTCCACCAATTATCTGGCGACACCAGCCTTGCCAAATATGCCAAATCGCAGACTCAGATAGGAGCGAAAGACGTACAAAGCAATCTTCACAGTTCCAATCAGAGTGAACTATGCGATGTTTCATCCTCATGGTCTGCTATAAGGCTACAAGGGGCCACTTCAGCACTAGAACACGGTAACATACTAGAACAAACAAGAACAAAGTCGAACAAAGTGCAATGTTTTGCCGAGAAATCGTATCCATCTGAATCACGGCAACCAGACTTAGACTATCTTAGACCTGTCTCCTGAGTATAGTGGTCAGTAGGCCAGTACAAATAGCCTCTCACCGTGGAGTGATTCAAGAGAGTCTTGTCTGCACTGCGCGGCACCCAACTCTCATGTGGAACAGTCAGGTGTTTGACAGCAGTACAGAATCGTACAGGAGCCTTTTCCAGATGAACATAGCATGACAACACCTCAGATACAGTATGTTCATGCTCCAGTCACACGCAACCACTCCCTGCAATTAGAGAGTTTCCATCAATTATCTGACGACACCAGCCTTGCCAAACATGCCAAATCGCAGACTCAGATAGGAGCGAAAGACGTACAAAGCAATCTTCACAGTTCCAATCAGAGTGAACTATGCGATGTTTCATCCTCATGGTCTGCTATAAGGCTACAAGGGGCCACTTCAGCACTAGAACAGACTGTAAAATACTAGAACAAGCACAAAGAAAGTGGAACAAAGTGCAATGTTTTGCCGAGAAATCGTATCCATCTGAATCACGGCAACCAGACTTAGACTATCTTAGACCTGTCTCCTGAGTATAGTGGTCAGTAGGCCAGTACAAATAGCCTCTCACCGTGGAGTGATTCAAGAGAGTCTTGTCTGCACTGCGCGGCACCCAACTCTCATGTGGAACAGTCAGGTGTTTGACAGCAGTACAGAAGAGTACAGGTGCCTTTTTCAGCTGAACCTGTCATGACAACACCCCAGACGCAGTATGTTCATGCTCCAGTCACAAGCAACCACTCCCTGCAATTAGAGAGTTTCCACCAATTATCTGACGACACCAGCCTTGCCAAATATGCCAAATCGCAGACTCAGATAGGAGCGAAAGACGTACAAAGCAATCTTCACAGTTCCAATCAGAGTGAACTATGCGATGTTTCATCCTCATGGTCTGCTATACGGCTACAAGGGGCTAGGCAGGCCACTTCAACACTGGAACACCCTGTAAACTACTTGAACAACAAGAAAGAAGGTGGAAAAAAGTCGAACAAAGTGCAATGTTTGGCCGAGAAATCACATCCATCTGAATGTGTTAGACCACGGCAACTAGACTTAGACGATCTTAGACCTGTCTCCTGAGTATAGTGGTCAGTAGGCCAGTACAAATAGCCTCTCACCGTGGAGTGATTCAAGAGAGTCTTGTCTGCACTGCGCGGCACCCAACTCTCATGTGGAAGAGTCAGGTGTTTGACAGCAGTACAGAATCGTCGTACAGGTACCTTTTTCAGCTGAACCTGTCATGACAACACCTCAGATACAGTATGTTCCTGCTCCAGTCACACGCAACCAATCGCTGCAGTTAGAGAATTTCCACCAATTATCTGGCGACACCAGCCTTGCCAAATATGCCAAATCGCAGACTCAGATAGGAGCGAAAGACGTACAAAGCAATCTTCACAATTCCAATCAGAGTGAACTATGCGATGTTTCATCCTCATGGTCTGTTATAAGGCTACAAGGGGCTAGGCAGGCCACTTCAACACTGGAACACCCTGTAAACTACTTGAACAACAAGAAAGAAGGTGGAAAAAAGTCGAACAAAGTGCAATGTTTGGCCGAGAAATCACATCCATCTGAATGTGTTAGACCACGGCAACTAGACTTAGACTATCTTGGACCTGTCCCCTGAGTATAGTGGTCAGTAGGCCAGTACAAATAGCCTCTCACCGTGGAGTGATTCAAGAGAGTCTTGTCTGCACTGCGCGGCACCCAACTCTCATGTGGAACAGTCAGGTGTTTGACAGCAGTACAGAATCGTACAGGTGCCTTTTTCAGCTGAACCTGTCATGACAACACCTCAGATACAGTATGTTCCTGCTCCAGTCACACGCAACCAATCGCTGCAGTTAGAGAATTTCCACCAATTATCTGGCGACACCAGCCTTGCCAAATATGCCAAATCGCAGACTCAGATAGGAGCGAAAGACGTACAAAGCAATCTTCACAGTTCCAATCAGAGTGAACTATGCGATGTTTCATCCTCATGGTCTGCTATAAGGCTACAAGGGGCTGCGCGGGCTACTTCAACACTAGAACAGACTGTAAAATACTAGAACAAGCACAAAGAAAGTGGAACAAAGTTGAACAAAGTGCAGTGTTTGGCCGAGAAATCGTATCCATCTGAATGTGTTAGACCACGGCAACCAGACTTAGACTATCTTAGACCTGTCTCCTGAGTATAGTGGTCAGTAGGCCAGTACAAATAGCCAGCCTCTCACCGTGGAGTGATTCAAGAGAGTCTTGTCTGCACTGCGCGGCACCCAACTCTCATGTGGAACAGTCAGGTGTTTGACAGCAGTACAGAATCGTACAGGTGCCTTTTTCAGCTGAACCTATTATGACAACACCCCAGATACAGTATGTTCATGCTCCAGTCACACGCAACCAATCGCTGCAGTTAGAGAACTTCCACCAATCGACACCAGCCTTGCCAAATATGCCAAATCGCAGACTCAGATAGGAGCGAAAGACGTACAAAGCAATCTTCACAATTCCAATCAGAGTGAACTATGCGATGTTTCATCCTCATGGTCTGCTATAAGGCTACAAGGGGCTAGGCAGGCCACTTCAACACTGGAACACCCTGTAAACTACTTGAACGACAAGAAAGAAGGTGGAAAAAAGTCGAACAAAGTGCAATGTTTGGCCGAGAAATCACATCCATCTGAATGTGTTAGACCACGGCAACTAGACTTAGACTATCTTGGACCTGTCTCCTGAGTATAGTGGTCAGTAGGCCAGTACAAATAGCCTCTCACCGTGGAGTGATTCAAGAGAGTCTTGTCTGCACTGCGCGGCACCCAACTCTCATGTGGAGCAGTCAGGTGTTTGACAGCAGTACAGAATCGTACAGGTGCCTTTTCAGCTGAACCTGTCATGACAACACCTCAGATACAGTATGTTCCTGCTCCAGTCACACGCAACCAATCGCTGCAGTTAGAGAATTTCCACCAATTATCTGGCGACACCAGCCTTGCCAAATATGCCAAATCGCAGACTCAGATAGGAGCGAAAGACGTACAAAGCAATCTTCACAGTTCCAATCAGAGTGAACTATGCGATGTTTCATCCTCATGGTCTGCTATAAGGCTACAAGGGGCTGCGCGGGCTACTTCAACACTAGAACAGACTGTAAAATACTAGAACAAGCACAAAGAAAGTGGAACAAAGTTGAACAAAGTGCAGTGTTTGGCCGAGAAATCTTATCCATCTGAATGTGTTAGACCACGGCAACCAGACTTAGACTATCTTAGACCTGTCTCCTGAGTATAGTGGTCAGTAGGCCAGTACAAATAGCCTCTCACCGTGGAGTGATTCAAGAGAGTCTTGTCTGCACTGCGCGGCACCCAACTCTCATGTGGAAGAGTCAGGTGTTTGACAGCAGTACAGAATCGTACAGGTGCCTTTTTCAGCTGAACCTGTCATGACAACACCTCAGATACAGTATGTTCATGCTCCAGTCACACGCAACCAATCGCTGCAGTTAGAGAATTTCCGCCAATTATCTGGCGACACCAGCCTTGCCAAATATGCCAAATCGCAGACTCAGATAGGAGCGAAAGACATACAAAGCAATCTTCACAGTTCCAATCAGAGTGAACTATGCGATGTTTCATCCTCATGGTCTGCTATACGGCTACAAGGGGCTAGGCAGGCCACTTCAACACTAGAACAGATTGTAAAATACTAGAACAAACTCAAAGAAACGGGAACAAAGTCGAACAAAGTGCAATGTTTGGCCGAGAAATCACATCCATCTGAATGTGTTAGACCACGGCAACTAGACTTAGACGATCTTAGACCTGTCTCCTGAGTATAGTGGTCAGTAGGCCAGTACAAATAGCCTCTCACCGTGGAGTGATTCAAGAGAGTCTTGTCTGCACTGCGCGGCACCCAACTCTCATGTGGAGCAGTCAGGTGTTTGACAGCAGTACAGAATCGTACAGGTGCCTTTTTCAGCTGAACCTGTCATGACAACACCTCAGATACAGCATGTTCCTGCTCCAGTCACACGCAACCAATCGCAGTTTATGAAAATCAGGACCAGTGCTCGATAGGATGTTCCAAAACAGTTCTTGAACGGTTCCATGATGGACTTTCCCCTGAACCATGGAAGTGCCGGGGACCCCCGCAAGGCTCCCCAAGAACGACAGTTTGCTATAGGCAGGAATTGATAACCCCTGAAAAGGAATTGATTGTTGAAAAAGGAAACCTTTGGCCTTTGGAGATCTTGGTATCCGGGATATTCTTCCGTGAGCTCCCATAAACTCCACAATCCAGGCGCGGTTGCGCACGCATCAATCTCGTCAAAAAAGATGGTGGTGGGAGCATAGAAGCGAGCCATCCTGAAGGAAATCGTAGCCAGAAGGTGCTTTGTTTGTCAAAGTCCTCTGGTCCGATGAAGGTGATCCACCAATGGCAATCTAAAATAAGGGCACCTTGCCACCAAATAAATTTCAGAATTAAAAGATATCGATCTAAGCATGGGTCCATCTCTCAGCATTTCTGGCCTAAATCTGAAAATGTGGTCTACCAGTCTACCCCAAATCAACTGCATTTGGGGGCCCATACCCCATTTTCAGACACGCCAAAACATCATACTGTTGGTTAGATGCCAATATTTACACGCCTTGTTTCTAGTTAATGTCCCGTCAAATTGATGGTTGAACCAACGTTGTCAACTATTCAACAAGATCATATCAAGCTGGTTGGTGACGTCCCATCAAATATCCCCTCAAATACCATGTTTTTTTCCTAGATAATAAATCATAATAAATCATGATACCCTCTAGTAATTAAAGATGGTTATGGTATACAATCAGCATGTTCAATGGGGAAATCCTTGGAACTCAATGGGCCATCTAGCAGCCATAGCTGCCACACATAAAACCGGAGGCGGTTCGAACCGCCCAACGATTCCCATAGGTTTCTCCCACACCACTGAGGTCACTGTGCCAGGCTGCTCGAAGAGAAGTCGCACCAACTTCTCTGAGTCGCCACGGTATTTACTCGCCTGGTGCCCAAAGGCGCCAAACGCGAGGTCCGCGAGGTGACGGCAATGGCTGGACATATCCGGTTAGAGACATGAGTCTATTGTATGTATTGCATATCCACTTCAGAAGCCTTGATATAAAGTGATGTAGATATGATATATATATATAATTATACAATTATATATATAGTTACATGTTTAAATATTATATATATATGTGACATGTGTATGGTGCATATCCGTTTTAGATCCACGAAAACAGGAGCATCTCAGTATGAAATAGACCCATCATGTCTGGCCTTGTCTTAAAACTGAGGGGAACTCCAGAAAATTTGATGGTCAATCATGGCGAATCCATGTTAAGCATCACAGGTCCATACTGGCTACTGGTCTGCATAGATATTCCATGCCAAAAACCCTACTGCCACCGCGCCATGGTAGAAGCAGAGACGTTGAAGAAGGAGGTGGAACACTGCGTAGCAACTGCCTGTGGCAAAACTGCTGCATTTTTTCGCAACTGGGGTGGACCATCCGAGCCTGGTTTGTCACATACTCCAGGGACAAATGGGACAACTCCAGTTGCTGGCCATAGACATGCATCCCGGATCCAGGTGGTATGTGGATCCAAATCTTCCGGTATACTGCATTTGTAAATGGGATAGATATGGATAGATCAGGTTCTCTATGATTGCATCATGGGCTATCAACATCTATCAACCAGTTACTGTACCTGGAAGTGCAGTTCCAGTTATAACTGGATATATATATATATATAACCATATAGTTCTAGAGGTTATATCCCAACATTTGGTGGGAAATCAGAGTTATAACATGTTATACCCTCTGGTAAACTAACATAACTATGGAAAATCACCATTTTTAATGGGAAAATCCACTATAAATGGTCATTTTCAATAGCTATGTTAGTTTACCAGAGGGTAACATGTTATAACCAAAGTGACCATGTTGGGACCTCCAACACCTCGCACCTTCGCCAGCATCGTCTTACCAGTACCGGGAGGACCAAACATCAGAACCTAAAGGGGGTCCCCGCGGGTGGGTCCAGCGGTGGGTCTGGCGCCGATGGGGTCCCCAAATGGATGGAGAAATTCATGGGTTTTCTTGGGAAAATCCTAACCGGAAACCATGCTTTTTACCATTAAATATAGGGGGTTCCTGGAAATTGACTCGTAAACCAATCCAATGAGAAATGGATTGTGTAGGCCAGCTAATAAGTATTTATGATTATTTATGGCCATTTGACATGGAGAAGATGATTTTCAAACTGGAATTGAAGGCTTTCCCATCTGTGTCAGGCAAACACACAACTGACCAGAGCAAATTGAAGTTGGCTTCCCTTCTGTTGCTCCAAGGACTCTTTCCGCTGGGGCATCTGCTTATAAATGCTTGTAAGCTCGGACCTGACATTATATCCCAAGGCTGGTATTCTTGGTGACAATATTGAATATATTGGTAAGGTGATATCATAAACATCCAACTGTGCTTGCTGGCCAGCCTGATTGGTTCTTGGGGCCCCATCCCTCCTAGTCAAGGACGCAAGAGGCGAACAGATTTCAATCCACCAAGCAGATACCAACACCGGCCAGCTTCCAGCTGGGTACCAGACAGACTCTTTTGCGTAAATGCCCAAAAAAGTATGGAACCAATGGTAATATAAGATCAATTGAAAGGAGAACATGATGATAAACCATGGGATTTAGGGTATAACACACCAAAATCATCCAAAACCAACTGCCAGTGATTGCGACCTCCTAAGGTTCCCGACACCTTTCCATGGTCTTCTGATACCCTGGACGGAGCCGAAAGGAAGCCATGCCCGGAATGTTCTGGGACCCAGTTGGCACTCATTTTGAAGGCATGGCTCACCTGTTTTCAAAGGTTGAACCGTCAAAAAACAGCACAAGAGCCGAGGTTGGATCACCCATGTTTAGGTAGAAATTGTAGATATGGATGACTACTATAGCCCCCAGAATTCTGGGAAGACTCAGGAGAATGGATTCCATGGATATCATCCTTCACATCATTCAGGTACCAACGGGACCTATACAATTTGTCGGTTTTTGTATGAAACCATCCATCTTGGGGCTTGATAGTTTTGACTGTCCTAATGTCATGGTCTTCCTTAGGGTCTTCCTTTCAGTTTAGTTTTGCCAGAACCAAACACACAGCAAGTCTTCAATCACAGCACCAATTGCTCCAAAGCCCTGAGTGCTTGCTTTCACCAACCTGATTTGTGGCAATTATTGTGGCAGGATATAATATTTTACATCCCTCCAATAGCTGAAAAACATACCATCAACCTCCATTTATATGAATTATTCCCGTCAATATCCACCATGGCAATTCGTTGTCGATCATCGCACCTGAAAATACTCTGGCATGACCAGGGGCAAGACCACAGCCTACGCGGATCCAAAGGTATGGCAAGTCTTAAAGACCTGGTTTCCATTGGCAGTCGATCGATGTTTCAGTCGATCGGTCCACTCCTGGGTTTACAACTTGATAACTTGTTGGTTTGTCCATGTTTGTCCCACTCTTTTTTTATAGGGCCGTAAAAAAAGGACTAATCTAAATACAGTCTGGTTGGTGGTTTTTCGCCACCCCTCTGAAAAATCATGGAGTTAAAGTCAGTCGGGATGACTTTCCATTCCCAACTGTTTCTGGAAAAAAATAGTCCGTTCATGTTCCAGTCACCACCAACCAGCAGTAGTTTGTGTGTTGTTCGTTTCTAAGTACCTTTTATCAACGATTGTTGCGATGGTGCCGAACTTCCGATGCCAAATTCTCCAAAGATTCAGATGACATCGTTTGGATCACCAATGTCTTCAACCAGTTCCAGGTTTCTTATGCAACAGCTGCTTCTTAATGGTGGTTAATGGTGATTCATAGTGATTAATGATGGTTAATGATGGTGTGAATGATGGTTAATTATCTGCTTGGTGGTTGACCTACCAACCCCTCTGAAAAATGGAGTTAAAGTCAGTTGGGGTGATGACATTCCCAACTGAATGGAAAAATAATCCAAATGTTCCAAACCACCATGTTTTCGGCCATGTTTTCGGTGCTGATGCCTGCTCAGTTGGGGAGCGAGGCAACGCTGTCTCAGCCAGCAGACCAGGCACCTTTAGCGAGGTCTCTTCTGCCCACTGCCACTCATTGGTGGGAGCGGCAGGCCATTCAACGCCCCTGCAGCACGGGCACAGGGATCCGGCAGGTGTTTGCCAAGCCAATCATCTACCACCGCCAACGAATGGGCGTCCCAAGGAAGGGAGGCAGAGGGGAGAAAGGCAGTGATCGCCGTAGAGGTCGGGCGACATTGTTCCATCCCAACTGACACTCCAGCTTCCTTCCACAGATGTTTGAGGCAAAGCCGAAACCACTTTGTTCGCTGCTTGAACGTGAAGGTTTCGACCGTCAAATACGGTCGCTGTTCTGCATCCACCCACTGGCCATTGACGCGTAGTGGTCCAGGGTGTCCAACTGCAATTTGAAAGTCCAGGTACAACTGTGCAAATGAAACCCAGACCAAGTCAGCCTTGTCAGCCAGTCGCCCCAAAAACCACTGGCTAATCTTCTGCATGACGGTTGAGCCATACAGGCGAGAAACCCGTGGTAACAAACAGCCATCCCAGCCTCCTCGGGTGAAGCTCGGTGCAAACTCTCTAGTCTGGCGGACAGGTCCAGGGACATGATCTCCGGAGTCTGCACTGACATGGCACTGGACCTGTCGCCGACCAACTGCCAAGTGTAGCTCCCGAACCTGCTGGTAGACTGTCTCCGAGGCACCAACTGCTTGGACATGAGCCTCCCACACGTCCCAAAAACTGGATGGACGATCCTGATTGGCTTGTCTCGCAGTTCTGTCTGCGACGTCATTGTAATAAAACATCCACGCTTCAAGCTTTGTAGTGGCACTTGAAACCCGCCGATGAGCCGGCACTTTAGACAGTTCAATGCGGTGTCTTCCCAACCTGTCTGTCGACTGCATAACCCACGTCCACAAATCTGCATTGCTCCTGTTGACATTCAGCTTTTTGTGGCCATGTACCAAAAGATTGAACTTGGCAATGACCCCCAGACAATCAGTCCAAATGCGGACACTGGCCTGTTGCTCAGCTGCTTGATGCAATGTGAAGGCGACCGCAAACAGTTCTGCTCGAAATGCAGTCTGGCAAACACCCGGCAGATAGGAAGCACCAATGACTTGGGCACCCCCTAGAGACCTCGATGAGCAGAGAGCTGGCACGAGAGTGGAGGACCAAGCAGCACACCGATAAAGCGGACTAGCCTGAAACAGACAGGACCCATCAGTGAACACATCGTTCCAGACCCCCTTGGCAAATCCAACAGACGTCCCCAAAGAACACGGTGGCAGACTAACCAGACATTGGATCCAAGAATGCCAAGTAGGTGGCAAAAGAGCCCAGCCCCGAAGTGACATGACAGGTGGCAACTGGTCAAGGACAGGAAGGACATCGGGAGCCAATGCGTCCCTCAAATCTTGATGTTGGGGGCAATCCCAAAACCGATGACGGAGGGTATCAGGTTGACCACACCAACGACAACTGTCTGACTGGTCAGTCCACTTAGCTTTGTAGCTCTCAGTGTAGAGCCCACCAGCTAAACCCAGGCGATACAAAGCTTGATCATCGGGGTTTAAAAGAGCAAGAGCACGTCTGGTAGCAGCCGCATCGACTTGCCACAGGCCGTTAAAGTCCACCCGATGAGTCAGTTGCTGAGCGACAACGAGCTGCCAAGCCCATTGTAACCGCAAATCCAACTCAGCTATGTTGCAAGTTTGCAAACACAAGGGTCCAAATTGATCAACCACACGACCATCTCGTTCAACCTGTAACCCAAGGGACTGTGCCCGGTGCAGGGCAATGGAAGCAGGGGCATTGGGGGGTAAGTCCAGGTCCCCATGAGCCAAAGGAGCAACATTGACAGACCAAAAATCCAAAGGGCATTGGGCACGCAAGGATCGGAAAGTCCAAGAGATGGCAGTGAACTGGGGGTCAACGACAGGCTCCACCAGACTTAACAACACAACAGGATTAACTCCTGGTTTTTGCCAACCCAAAGCTTTGACGGCACTCCGCCTAAGCGCAAGCCAAGTTTGATCACCAATCGGCGCACTGGCAACAGCATGAAGACCACGAGGCCAGGCAACGGCTCTCAGCATATACACTTTGGCTTTGTATCTGGCATGACTGGCCCGCAACTGCACCCAGAAATCACCAAGGTCAGCGATGCGTTGGGCCACAGTACGATTGGTGTACTGTCTGGAAATTCCAAGGTGGCCGCCAAGCTCCCGCGCATGGTGCAAGACCTGAATTCCATGGTCCCTCATGCGTTTGCGCAGGTCAGGGCAGGTAGCCCATCCAAAAGTTTTCTTACGATCAACCGTCAAATCAATCAAGGCCGCAAACTTTTCAACCAGGGCTAGTTGACGGACAGCATAGTCCACATCAAGAGTGAGAGTCTGCCAGTCATCCACATACGTCAGGCATCTCACAGTCGGTGCCTGGAACCTCATCCAGCAGGCAAACAGGTGGTCAATCAGCAGCATCCCATAAACTGACAAACCACAACCCTCAGCTAAGCCCGTGGAAGTCAAGAATCCAGCAGAGAAGGAGTCCCTCACCTTGAAGTGCCGACACATGCCTGCAAGTGCTCCGCTCCAAGCAGTGGTAACAGCATGAGGGGTGCCAACCAAGACAGCAAGGCACAAAGCAGGGAACCTGGGAATGCAATTGAAACACTTCTCAATGTCTGCTGAAATCCCCGAAAGGGCATTGGAAGAGGAGTAAGCTGACTCAATTTCAGAAAGGAGCTGAATCCAAAGGTCGGAAGCCTGTCTGCCACGGCGATTTCCAAAAACACTATCATCAACCCACTGATCAGCGAAGGCCAACAAGTATCGGGACTGGATACTGCTCCAAGCACGGTAGGGGAGTCCAAAGATAGTTATGGGCCTATAATCGCCAACTGACGATGCAGATTCATGTTTGGCAAGTGAGTGTACCTTGCCTGCAATGAGCTGATCAGGCCAAGCTCCATCATGTTCAGCACGCCGGTACAAGTTACAAAGACTGGCCAACGTGGCTTGGTCCGCAAGGACAAGATCATTCCTACTGACCCCATCAAGTCCAGTAGCAGCTCTTTTCTTTTTCCTGTGGATCTCAGCTTGAAGGAGGGCACAGTCAACCGACAGATGGGGCAAAAAAGTGGGACGGATGATCCGACGAGCAAAATCCACAAGGTCCTGCCAACGGGTAAAAGGAACACCATCATGACGACACCATCGACGCTGCCATTGTTCATGAAAGGCATCAAACAAGGCTCGAAGGTCACCGACCTGCTTGGTTTGAACACAGACATCATGAACTTGAATGGGAGCGACATCGTGGACCCAAACCTTGTCATGTTCTGCATGGATAACTTCGCGCAGTTGCCCGGAAATCCAAAGGGGCTCATCAGGGATCAGTTGAACGGCACGATCAAGCTCAACTGCACACTCTGACCAATCAACACAGGTGACTTTCGCATCAACCCGATGGAGAAGAGTATCCACCGGTTCAGCAGCAGGCCTGGCAACATCGCGAAAGACCAGCAGACGATCTTGGTCATGTTGGGCAACCCGATGTGAGCGACGAGCAACCGTCAACCGTTGTTCCAGCAAACGGACATCAGCCAAGACAGCGTCGAAAATCTGACGAGCAACAAAAGGGCCGGGACAAAACTGGGGCACAGCTGGAGGATCCAAAGGACTGACATACAGGCGGGTGGGCCACCAACAGGAAAAGGAAGTCCCAAAACCGCAACCCCCAAGATGGCATTCCACAAACCGATCCCATGCAGGCAATCACCCATCGTGGACTGGGTTCTGTTTTCAGCCCATCTGCAAAAGTTTTGCAATCTCCTAAGTTGTTTGAACCGTTTGGCATGGAGCGCCGAAAATCCAAAGAACCCAGGGTGAACATCATTAGCTCTCCCTTGTTTGATGGGGGCTTGACGACCCACGACCCTTTTAGGCTGAGTTTGTTGGCCTCGGCCAGCCATGGCAGGACACCACTCTTGGTCAAGAGCTCGTTGGGCACAAGCTTCCTTCTGTTTCCACAGTGCTGCATACTGCTTCGTAGGGTCAGCAGGAGGGGCAAAACAAACAGGTGTGGACAACTCAGGAACAGACCGCCAGGCAACCGGTTGAGGACAAGGCCAAACAAACCGTTCAAGTTGGGCTTTACCCCCAGTGAAAGAGGCAATCAAGACCGAGTGGTCAGCAAAAACATTTGGATCAATCTGAAGACCCACAAATCCAAGGGCCAACTCCGGAGACAGCCACAAGAAGTCCTTCCTGGTGGTGTTTTTGCAAGTAGGTTGAATGGTATGACCTGTACGGGACTGAGCAAGTTCCTGCACCTCAACCCATCCAGCAGCACGCATGTGGGGCACTACTTGAAGACGGTCATGGGTGAAATTCCAATCCCCTGCCATAAACCGAGGGCCTGGTTGGGCTTGAAGTCGATTCCAGGCAAAATCCAAAATGGCTTCGGTCTTGGCATGTGCTTGAGAATGGGTTTTACCTTCAGGGCAGCCATAGACTACAGCCCCGGAAATCCAATCAGCAGGGGTGTAGAAAGCTGCAAACTGAAGGCGTCCTGTCTGATACAGGTCATCAGGCCAGGGAGCTGCAATGGTCCTGCTTGGGAAGACAGAAGTGAAGGCCACTCCTGCCCATTGCCCTGCATCACTGGAGAGCTCTCGGGGCCATGGGGGCACCCGTCAGAACATGCTTGAACCGAGACTTGTGAGACCGAAAAGATTGTGCCAAGCCTCGTTTGGCTTGGGCAGACAAGTGCGTCTCGCTGATGGCTAGCACATCGGCCTTGACACTATCCAACACATGATTTTTCCCCTGCAATCCCGAGGGATTGGCGATCCCAAGTGTCCACGTGTCAGAGTCAGGGCCTGGAACACGAGCTTCACCAATGCGGCACATCGACAAAATCAAAACAAAGCGCAAAAAGGCCCAAATGGAGTGTGGTCGCCCCGGGGTCACCCTGGCTTTGGGCTGTGGCCAAGGGCCCCCTTGCTTTCACTCAGTGCGTGGCTTCTTTGCCAGGATAGTCTCAATCCTGGCCATCTGGTCTGTCAGCATGGACTGCATCTGGTGCGTTTGCAAGTCCATCTGCACCTTCATTTGCTGTTGCAAGGACTGAACCTGTGCAGTGTTCTGCTGGTGATTGTCTTGCACGGTCGATTCCAAACTGACCTGTCGGGCAGAGAGCTGCTGCACCTGGGCTTCAAGCAGCTGCAATCGATGATCCTGGTCATCAATCTACATCTTGTCAGTTGGGGGCAGCTTGGCAAGAATGCTTTGTTCAATGCGCTGCTCAAGTTCTTGCAGAACTGGCTGAGCAGGGGGTCCTGCAGGCAATGTCGGCACTGAGCTGACTGCTTTTGACCATGGATCACTTGTCAGCCATGGGTCTGCATTGGTGGCCTCTGATGGCCGGCACAGGTTCACGGTGGCTGCTTGACCGACCACTTTGTTGCCAGCCTCAGAGACAGGGGACTTCGTGTCGGGACACGTGATCACGACTTGGCCATGTTGCAGGGACAAGACACGAACCGGTGGTTCAACAACAGCCTGGACAGACCACATCAAACCTCCGGGCACATGTTGGACCGGTTGTAATGGCCTGCACTCCCATTGGCTGGCTTTGAGAATCCGGGCGATTCCCTTCCTGTCACTGCCGAAAGGCCACGGGCCGCAGTGATAAACCATCCTGGCACCTGGTGCAAGGTACACCGCATCTGGCTTCACATTGGTGAACATGCGTTGGAAGTCTTTGGTGTGAACCCTAAGTCCATACCGCTGGCCAGTGCGTGCAAGGCCCAAGCAATCAACTTCACACTTGGCCTTATGGGCCACTGCATTGTAGTCCATCTGGGGAAGCCACACCACCTGGAAGTCGCCATGGGGCCGAAGTGCATCTTCCGACTTCGGTTCTACGTAGACACCATGTTGGCCACTGGCAGAAAGGACACGGGACTCCAGGCTCTTGACATACCTGACAAAGACTGCAAAGTGAGTGGCTCTGTCCCACTTGACTGGCCGACCTGAGTCATTGAAGTATTGACGGCGGAAGACATCAAGGACTGCTTCGGAGGACTGATCAGCTGTTGGGTGCCAGCCGGGGCAGCTACATTCTGGCCCATTGCGACACGTCTGAAGGCACTGCAGGACGGACAGGACATGTTTGACAGGGCGGCTTGTGAAGTCTTCCCAATCATGCTCCCATTGGTCTTGGTACACCGTAACCCTGGCACATGCAACTTCCGTGGCAACAACAGCAGGGGTATCTTTGGCAGTGTATTGGTAAACACATGACCGACCAAGTTGGACAAGTAATCCAGTGACAATCATGGGCTCTTGGTTCATGCTGCAGCGAGCGGCAAACCTGATGGTGGCTGAGATCAGTGACGTCTGGACATCTGGTGGGGGGTTCAGGATCAAGAGCGCCAATCCATTATGGGTGAGCAACTTACCAGCCTGCAAAAAGGGCAATGCATCCTGATAGGTCGTCAAGGCAAGTCCAGAAGCCAGTTCCAAACCACCAACCAGGGAATAAGAATACTACACAAGATTTACCATCGATGGTAGTTTCTCATGGATCTTTTTGTACAGTGAATCAGCAAACAAATGCAGATTCACCTAGCCTCTATTTTCAATTTTTGGGGCTTGGCCATGAGGTGTATAACAAGACATCATCAACCAACTGGCATTGTTTCTACCCTTGGGTAAACTAACATAGATGCGGAAAACCCGCTCTTTCCGTGGGAAAACAATCTACAAAAAGTGGATCATGTTCACATCTATGCTAGTTAGTTCATGTTACTTCCACATCTATGCTAGTTCCAAATCGTAAAGCTTCTGAAAATAGGGCACCTAAATAGGGCTTTCCCTGTCGTTTCCCATTGGAGGATCCCCACTCGCCTCTTCAAGCAGAGACTTGGCTTGTTCGAGGCCTGCAATGGAGTCCCACCTCGATGATCGAAGCTGGAGTCATGGGGGGGTTCCATGACGTCATGGGGCTACCCCAAGCTCGCTGGATGGTTTATGTCATGGAAAATCCCAAAATAAAATGGATGGTGACTACGATTATTCCCATTTCAGGAAACCCCCAACCATGTACTGGTGGTTTAAACATGCTTAAACCGGGATGTGTTGGATAAATGAGTGGTGATTTGGTGGATAAATGAGTGGTTAAAACTTGGAATTTGTCGCATTGAATCTGGAAAAAAACATGCCCCCATTATACTCTCTGATGATAACCTCTGAATGGAACATCCCCCCATTTGTTTTGGATGTTCCTAGATCTTCCAATTGAAGCACCGATTTCTTCTTGCCAGGATAGGATTGCCAAAGGCTACTCAAGCCTTCTGGAAATATAATCTGTCTTCACCTTGAAAAAAGTGGAGAATCATAGGGAAATATCTGAAAAAATAAAGTCTATAATTTGGAGGTTTTAGTGAGGATCCATCATTGAAATATCCTGTTGCAGATGTGACTTTGAACCAATGATTCTCCATCACTTGACCATCGGCTTTGTGGGATAAGTAGCAGGACACCGAACATTTTCTTAACCATCACCTATGGTGTTTTTCCTCTGAGATGTACCATTTACATCCATTTACATCCATGAAGTATATTCAAATACAGGTGTTTCCTGTGAAATTTACCATTTAACCTCTGGTAAACTAACATAACTATGGAAAATCACCATTTTTCATGGGAAAACTCACTATAAATGGTGATTTTCCTTAGCTTTTTGTATGTTTACCAGAGGCTACCCGATTCTGGGGACCTCACCAACACACCAAGCCAACTTCAGCCCGGGGTTGCCCCACGTCACAGAAGGACATCGATCCACGCAGTCTCTCTCAAGCATCTGAATCAAGTCAGCCTCGAATGGCAGGAACTGTGAAAGTTACCCGGCCTGGTAAACATACAAAAAGCTATTGCTCCAGCATTTACTGGTTTAATCCTAGAACTGGTAATCCTATGGTTTAATGGTTTGATATGGTTTAATATCTTATAAATAATATAACTACATGGTTTGATATAGTTTAATCCTAGACGTCCAGAAAAACAATGTCCAAGTTGATGGTATGTTCCTTCGTTTACAGCTCAATAAATAACCCCTCAAACCACCAGACCATGGTTTACTCTGGCCAGGGTAGTGAAAACTGGTGATGCTGCGTAGCAAATATTGAGATATATCCTGGTATGTGCATCCCAGTTGGTAAGCGTTTTGTAACCACTATAAGAAAAAAACTATGTATATTGTATCATATCATATTAAAATACATGATATATATACATTATATATATTATAATATCACTGGAAATACTTCTGCCGCATATGCCGCTGCTGCCATTAGTTTCACTGGCCTTTCCGAACCGGTGATTACTGGCCTTTCCTCGCTGGGATCGTCCCCATGAGGACCGCACATCAGGACCGCTGCCGCTGCTGCCATAGACGTGTTCCAGGAAGGAGCCAGCTTCAGCGCCCTGCAGAATCCCCAGGGATCCAATTCTGGGAGGACTGGAGAAATTCGAGTTACATGTCATTGCACACAGTTATTTTGTGCAGAGTAGATGACCTCATCATGACGTTCTTCAATAGTGTTGAAAATCCGAAACCAATATGTTGCACATATCCTACACCACATCAACTGGCCCCAAGCATTCCACTACAATTTTCTTTCACTGGTTCCAAAGAGTTGCTAGTGGACCACGAAAGATCAACGGAAAACCAGCCGCCAAAGATGTTCAATCAAATGCCTCCAGATTTCCCAGAGATTTTCGACAGATTTCCAGCAGATTTCCGGAGCTAACTTTCGACAAATGGTGCCTTTCCCTTTGACTCGTCCTTCTTGGGCACATTATCCATCCAAGGCCTTGGCGGAACAGTGCCTAAGACCTAGAGGCCAAAAACGTGTTTCGTAACACCCTAAGTCCCTAAGTTTCGTAACACATCTAAAGAGGCCAAAAACGTGTTGGAGTCCCTAAGTTGAAAGGGTTGACTGTGTTGACTTTGATAATTTGTTCCGGTGTTTTGATATGTTTCGATGGATCGATTCGTACGAATGGTACCTCAAAAACACTTGATATGTTTGCAGCCTATCAAAGCTTGCAAATGGTGAGGGTTGGTCACTAGTACTGACAGTTCGTCTTCAAAAAATACAGACTTGGGGAGCCGGCTACCAGCCATTTACCCAAGAAATACTGAAAACCACCATTTCTGATGCAGTTAGCCTCCTGTCTGAAATAGATCTGGCAAACCCATCAAATGTACATCATTTTCCTAGGCTTTCACAGTTTCAATGGCTTTCACCATGGCTTTTCCAATCGATGTTAGCTTCGCCCCGGGTTCACCGATGGGTCCCCGAACTTCTTGTAGTTCCGCCCGCCGCGCTCCCCACGGTCGCCGCGGTCGGTGCCACGGTCGGCGCCCCGGTCCGGGGGGCCATGGCCGTGGCCGTGGGTGCCATGGGCCTGGCAGCTGGTACAGAAGTGGACATGTAATACATATAGTTTTATGTTTGTTTGTTAGTTAGTTAGTTTGTTAGTGAGTTTGTTTGATTGATTGATTGATTGATTGTTTGATTGTTTGTTTCCCTGCACTCAGAAGCGTCTGAGGCCTGTGTTTCAGGCGGCAGACTGAGAAACTATGTATTTATCTCTGTTATATAAGTTATATATGTATATGTAGAGATTGATTTTGTTAGAATTAGTATTGTTTATATCATATTATCAGTATATATATATAGATAATATACATGTATCGTACGTATATATAATGTAGTATAATACAATCAACTTCGAAGATCGGAATTGTGTATAGAAGGTATGGTTATGGATAGCACGGGATGAAACAACCAATGATCATGATCTAATGGAATAGAGCCAACATTGCAAACGAATATGGTACTGTGTGAACATGAGAAATTGCTTCAAACATGAAATGATAATCAATTGATAAATGTATCTATTAATATCTATTAACCTATTACTCATGATTGATACTAAGTAGTATATTACTCGATATTCATCCCACTTATAATCTGGTTGGTGGTTTTAACCATCTTGAAAAATATGAAAGTCAATGGGAAGGATTAACCCATATATGAAATGGAAAATAAAAAATGTTCCAAACCACCAACCAGTAATGCAACTACAGTAGAAAGCAAATAATACAGTATGATTTGTCTACCTTGCTTCTCCCTGAACTTGGCAACGGCTCAACGCCGGGGACTACAACCTGATCATCCAGGAGCAGCTTACAGTAGTCGGCCATGTTTTGCTTCAGAAATTCAAGATCGTTGTCCTGAAAAATGTATAAAAATGTTGGGTTTGAGGTGCAAAATGTGAGATCCCAAAGTTTCTGATTGCGACCATGAGAACCCAAATGTCCAATTGTCGACCCTGACATGTCCGCTGTTGCCTGAGGCTGTCGTCGAGTTGGCACCTGAGTCCGCGGATGATAGGGTGAACCAATCCTCGGATGACCTTAATACATTGCAGTTCTACGGGACTGCAACGTATGAACCAAACACTAATTTTGCAAGTACCTTATAGGTAAGCTAAGTACCTTCAGGAATCACTACAGCATCCCAAGTATTCCAACATGTAAAATTGATTTGTTTGGAATACTCAGAAAATCCCAACATTTACCTCCTGGCTCAAGACTACATTATCGCCGCAGATCAAACAATTCCTTCGACTTTCAGGGATACCTTATATGAATTCCTATTTTGTAGCTACTAAAATGGGGGTTGCCTCAAACTGGGAGATACCTTTTCAAAGCCCCTTTCTGGAGATAATGCTAACAGCTGCTAACCTAAAATCGATCCTGGCCAGGGCCCCGCGCTGAACGCTCCTCTTGCCTGCCATGGGGATTCCCTCGGTGACCCTGTGAGCTGTTGGACATATTTTTGACCCAGCTATCATTGCCAATCACCTTTGGGGAGCTGAAAAATCCCATGAAACACAAAGAAAAACACTAGACATAGATAAATGGTCAGACTGAGCAAAAACTGAAAATTGGGTACCCCCAATTCCAATATGCTTATTACCTTCTGGTTATTTAACATAGCCATGGTATAGATGGCCCATAGAAATAGATGGTTTACCTATTAATAGCATGGTGATTTTCCATGGCTATGTTAGTCATAACCAGAGGGTATCATCATTGTTCCATGACAATAGCCTCGGGTAAACTTACAAAAAGCTATTGAAAATGGCCATAGAAATAGTGGATTTTCCCATTAAAAATGGTGATTTTCCATGGCTATGTTAAATTACCACACACACACACACACTTTCCGTTGTGAAACTCAGCCCTGACGAGTGGCCTGGTGGGAGATCTCCGTTGCGGCACATCCCGTCGTGCCGGCGGGTCCTAAAACACGGAAGACGCAACAACCGCGGGATTGGATTGGTTTTCTTGGGAAAATCTTAACCGGAAACCATGGTTTTTACCATGAAATATGCGGGTTTCCTGTAAATTTTCCCGTAAACCAATCTAATGATCATGGGATTGGATTGAACATGAATCTACAGGACACGATGTTTTCCTATGAAATATGATGAAATATGTAGGTGTCCTGTGTGTTTTGTCCCTTCAACCAATGCAATGACACCTCCAAATCCAGACTTCTGATGTCATATGACTGGTTCATAGCCCTTGATCATGAATCAGGGATATGACTAACCAACTAACCCTGGGACTGGTATATACTCGATAGCCATTAGTGGCTGAAAAGGTAGAAACAACCTATTAGCTGGGAGAGTGACTGCACATAGACATCTAAGAATCAGAAAACGGGATATGGTCAATTGGAGGGGCAGCCCTTGCAATTGCAACTAGCATTTATATATATATACATATACAATGCATGGAGTACATGTCATAACCCATATGCCAGCAATTTACTATAGTATCTTCCAGGTTTAATCAAGTGGTACATGATTGGTTGTGTCTCCAGATTAATCATCAACCTGTGGCTAAAGAATGGGGGGCTGATCGCACCAGAAATGATCATGTGTTGAATCTGCGCCTGCGCTTGATATCAGGAACTCTCCACTTTCAAAGTAATTATTGTTCCATTTCGCTTCGTTGCGGGACATGTCCCAAGTTTGCTTTTGTTACCATTTTGTTACCATTCCAACGAAACTCTTTGGTTTCTTATCCCAATAATGTGTAGTTGGGATTAATCATCCACTAGGAATTCATCAACCCCACAGAAAACATGTGTTGGCAATACTAAATGGCTTGATTAGTCCAAACTTGACATCAACTTTAATAATGTGGCTAAAACAATCTCATAAACGATCCCCCAGTCATCACCATTTTTATAGGTGGTATAGACCGTTCCGAAATGGGTGGTTTATGGCATGGTTTTGCACACATTCAGGAAATTTAAGGATATGTTGATACTTCTAATATTATGTGTGATCACATATCTAGTATATCACTTATCACCTATAAATAATAATGGATATCCTTGATATCCTTGATGTAGAAATATTAGATCACTTCTACATCAAGGATATCAAGGATATCCATTATTATTTTACCCACATTAAGGATATTATGATCTGGTTGGTGGTTGAGCCACCCCTCTGAAAAATATGAAAGTCAATGGGAAGGATGACATCCCATACGACATGGAAAATAAAAGTCATGTTTGAAACCACCAACCAGTAATCATTGTCCCCATATATCATTGAAATTGCCATGAATTGCTGGATATAAGCCATTTTTAGCCACACCCAAATAGGATATTATGATTAATCCATCACCATTTTTAATGGGTAAATCCACTATTTCTATGGCCATTTTCAATAGCTTTTTGTATCTTTACCAGAGGGTAATCCCAACGTGACATTCACTGTGTTTCTCCATCGCCCAGTCCTGCGCCCAGCCTGGGAGGTTGTTGCCTGGCCACTTGGGTCATCCCCTGCCTGCTCGTTGGCCTTTTTTTATATATCAATGGCTATGTAAGGGAATATACCCCCAAAATATGGCCAAACATATGGTACTAACGTACCTCCATTTTAGGATCCTGGAATTCGCTTTTTGAATATATGCAGGAGTTCCTATTTTGATGAAGTAAAGAGTTCCTTAAGTAGTCTGTAGATGGACAACTGGACAACATAAATTATCATCCATCAATTTCCAAGTTTCAAGGAGGTTTTGTCTTATGAACAGTTAACTAACTCCATGGCGCGTTTGACTATAATCATTATAATCCTCAGAGATTCCTAGAGAATAAACAAGTACCACAATTACAATGTAGGGATCTGTCATCCATGATCCATTCAAAAGGATTCCTACCATGGAGAAAATGTCATGCAATCCTGAACTAACCAAACACAATGACACACCCATATAATCATCAACCAGAAAGTGTTTTGCGCATTGCTGCTCGACCGCATGAGATTCCTAGACCCTCTCACCTGGCAGCATGATCACAATGGTGGGCTCACAACAACAATAATCTGGTGATATTGGTAGAAGTGGAATTTATCAATTAGATTTGCTTCAGGGGACAATCAAAATCAAAGACTATTCCCACTAGATTCCCCAAATGGTGGATTTAGCAATGGGAAAATCAAAAAAATGAATGCAGCACATCCTGGAATGTGTATATAATGTGTGTATGTAATATACACAAATACAGTATCTATAGAGTATGTATGGTGAAATGCGAATTGTAGGTGTATCAAAGAAAGCACCAAAAAAAACACTCCAGGTGATCTTTGAGACACTTGCAGGCCGCATTGAACGCCATGAAATCTCACAGGAAACAAAAGAAAATGATGCCCTTTGAAGATGTCTTAAAACCACCAACATCAAAGAACGGTATGAACGACGAACTTGATAACTTCTCCATGATCCACATTTGAATCCAATAAGTGTTTGACTGGGATTCAGTCACCCATTCGCTTTGGGGTTTTGAATCAAATTTTGGCGAATCCATTTTCATGGATGGTCGAATACCAACAGTGACCCCAAATACTTGGGACATAAATTATGACTTATTCCATTTCTGCTGGCCAAATCGTCTTGAATCCATCTGTTTGATCAGTTTCATTGGTGAATCATGGATTTGGTCAATCCTTTAGAAACAAAAGTTGACAAAAAATCTTTGCTTACCCTCTGGTAATTTAACATAGCTATTGAAAATGGACATTTATAGTGGATTTTCCCATAAAATCATAGTGATTTTCCATAGCTATGTTAAATTACCAGAGGGTAAATCCCCTGAATCATGCTTAATCCACCATCTTTTTGTGGATCAAACCGACCAATCTTTAAGCGTCGCCTCCAGAGGCCACGCGGCGTGCCGCCGGCTTTGCCCTGGGCGTTTTCCGGCCACCAAGTTATGGTATTCTAAAGGGATAATGATGAACCATTGGAATATACTACCCATGAATTGGAATTGCAGATGGTTAATTGATGATGATTGGAATACACTAACTACCCATCATGATGATGATGATGATGATGATGACAGTGCCATTGGAATCGTAGGCTGCCCGGTCGGCTACCCTATCTTCAGACTGACCCACTTGGGTTCCAGGCACCACTGCGGCAATCAGCTTCCACAGCTTCCACAATCATTTTGGAGGATATTGCCAACAAAAAAACATGGAGTCTTACAAGAAAATATTGGAAATGTGCCATCACAATTCCTCAAACATGTTCTTTGAAAAGTAAGACATCCATAGGTTTCGTGGAAAAAAACAAATTACACTCCAGTAAATTAACATAGATCCTGCCAGATAGGGGTTGGAAGACTAGTTTCCACTATAAATTGGTAATTTTCAGGGTCTATGTTAATTTACCAGAGGGTAGGCTCCTCAATTATTACCAGAGGCGTTCGGAGCGCTCTGAGATGCCCAACTCCCGTCCGCGGTCACCTTGAAACCATGGAAACCATGGACCAACGGTTGCTGCCACCGTCCATTCAGTTCAATTACAGTAATGTGGGTAAAACAATGTCATAAACCATCCCCCAGTCATCACCATTTTTATAGGTGGTAGGTACTGTAACATGGTATGTTTACCATTCCCAGTCATGGGTGGTAAAAATGGCCTTGTTTTACCCAGATGTCCATGAAAATTCCATGGGAACCCGTCATAGTTTCAGAAGTGTTCCAGGCCAACTGAGCCATGAACAGTTCGTTAGCCCGTGAGATTTCAAGCATCTCGTGAGTTTAGCCATGCAACTTGAAGGAAAAGTAATCAAAAGTATGACTCAGAAGTGGTTAAGAATGGTTAAGATAGTGTCTCAAACCAAACCAAACCAAACCTCATCCCTACAGAAGCGGTTGTATCCATATCACCTTGAACCATAGGAAATGGCATCCTGAGTTATTGATATCATGAGGCAGAACATGCCAGAACGACTACAGCAATACAGTACCACAGGCTCCACTGTACTATTGGGCGAGACAAATGAGACCCACCAAGCCATTGATTTGCCTATCAACCTTGAGTACTTTGACATGCCTGGCGAATTTCACCAAACTTAAGATGCTGAGATTCCTGGCCATCTAGAATACCAAACATCATTGTCACTATTGTCTTTCATACCAAATGCCATTGTATGGCTGGATCTGGCGGAGACCAAACATATCAGCATGGGGTACTATTAATATCTCTGAGTCTCATTGGGCAAATGCCAGTCTGTGAATTCACCAGTTCAAGCTACTTCCAAAAAATGGGGGTTTCCGGAAATGGGGGGTACCTCCAAATCATCCATTTAAAATTTCGGATTTTCCATGAAAGAAACCATCCAGCTATTGGGGTAACCGTTTAACCCCTATGACCATCACGTCCCAGGTACGAGGCGACGGTGGGGCGATCACGCCGTCCCAAACCTGGCCGGAGATGGCATGGTGATGGCAGGTGAAACACTCATCATTGTTATGTAGATATTGTGTACATTGGGTACGTAAATTAAATGTGTATTAAGATATTGTATATCATACATATATCATATATATGTATATCATATATTTATATGTAATTATATATATAATATATGTATATGTACATATAATAAATATATATATATTATCTAAATCTATCTCAATGTTTGGTTGATCCTCGTTTTTCAGGTTTCTCCCACCCTTGACGGGCTACAGATGGCTACACGTCCGCTGCCCCGTTACGAAAAGTCTCACCAGACTGGATCCAAATTCCTGGGATCCCCAGACTGGAGCAGGCGGTTGCTTCACCTGGGGCTTGGGGCTTTTTCGGATCTCAAAGATCCAGATGCGCTTTGGGGGTGTGATTGGGTAAATTATCATATTAATATGTTTATGATTGGTGATGTTTATGAATCACTATGATCCACTATCAATCACCATTATTCTGGGTAAATTATATAATATTTCACTAACCTGAATTAAGGCCATGTGGGGATGATTTCCCTTATTAACCATGATTTCCAGTGAGGGAGAACAGTGAGGTCGTTATAATTTACCCAGATCCATGAAAAAGCACTGAGAAAAGTTCGGGGCTCTTGCGACGCACTTTGAGGCGTCAAGGTTCCCTTATCCTCTTCCAGATCACGACATGTGTCGCACCTCCTCTTTTTGGGGCGCTGCTGCCATACCTGAAAAGTTGGGATTGAAGAGATTGGACAAGGGGGTTACCGAGAGAAGGAGGGGGGCGGAACCAAATCAATGGTGTTCTTGATTGTTCTTGGTATGCTAGTCTGGAATGCTAAGCTTGGTATATGGTCATAGTCATAACAGACAAAAAGAACTCAAAGAAAAATCCTGGAATCACAGAGCCTTCAATTTTCTTGCAAATTGGGCGGGCCCCAATTCTGCATTTCAAAGATTTTAGATGAAACATGGTATGAAATGGTATGAAACCATGGGTTCTTAGCCCCAAATTATTGGTGGAACCATAAATGACATAAATGATTGGTTGAAGGGAACATTTACAGGCAACACCCATATTCGATGGGAAAATCCATGGTTTTTTCCTTAAGCCAATCCATTGAAACTATGGTTCCTCCTTCCAATCTGGGAGTATCCGACTGGCAAAGTCCTCCAGGATGTTCACTTTACCTGGGCAGAAAGGTGGCCGGTAACGCAATATTCGAATCATGCTGGGAATCTGTGGCAATCTGAAATCATCTACAAGGTGGTGCCCCCAAGATAGCGTTCAGTTGGTGAAGATAACTCCAATTTCACTATGGTTTATGGTACTTATAACTATAGTTAATGGGGTTTATAAACCAACTTATAACTGGGGGGCCCCACCTTGTACAATATGTCTTGCTTACAATGTTCTATAAACTTCTATAGCATTTTTGGAAAGATGTTTGAACATTTCTATAAACTTCAAGAATGTCCGAATGTAATCAAAGGGAATTACTTATTTCTCCTCTGAAGACATCAATTGCTGGAAACCCAACAGGAAGATCGAACATGGAAGTACCGTTCTACTCCCCAAGTTTCCTCGTTTAAAAATGGAGATGTCCATCGTGAACAAATGAATGCCCGTGGAAAACCCCATCAAACAAGAACTTGCCAAATCAAAAACCGATGGCCAAACTAATGAATTTAAATGGCACAAAATCAGACCTGCTGAACAGACTTCGTCAAACCTCCCCGTCCCAGGTCCCGAACCCTGGTTGGCCTCGCGACGCGAGACCGGATTGGAAACGCTGGCTGGGTCCACCCTATAAATGAATATATACATACATATAATATATATATAATTATATATTAATATATATTAATATATATTAATATAAGATTATAAAAGCAACTCACACCTCACAATAAGAACATATAGAAAGGCAACTCACTCAGCACGCCGGTATCAATTTTTGTTGGACTCCCTTTGACATGTTGCTTTCCCAGACCCATAAACTCTCTCAATTGCCAATCGCCAAAAAAAAAACTCAACTGCATGTCGGTCCCTCCAGTTTAGAATTTAGAATGTTGCCTCTAGAGCACATAACTGGATCCTCAGTTCACACTGAATGGATATGTGTTTGTATGTGTTTGTCCAAGCACGTATACCCCAAACTCACACACTCTCAACAAAGAACAAGACGATAAACTACATATATTGGATTTGAGGGTGTACCCCATGTTGAAGCAAACCCATATCATCCAGCTGTTTTTGGGTGCAATTCTCTGAGCGCCACACAGCACCAAAAGACCTCAGTTGAAACAGAATAGGATGGTCCTCAAAAGGGCCTGGGAATATCAAGCATCAAGCAGTGCTGAATTAAACAACAATGTTCCATAATGTGTTCTTTACGTTTAGTGCATACTTTTGTACCTGCCAAGCCACTACAAATTGAAGTAAATGCAGTGGAGACATTATGCGGTCCAATGGACAAACCGTACACTTCCATGCAATTTCTTCAAATAAAAACCTTGAGCACTGTAGTAATCGCCAGCTCTGTGCCTGAAATTTAGATAAAGCAGCATTTGCATGAAGCGCAAACTATTCTGCCAAATGAAATCGTAGATATTGTATCTCCCAAATGTATATTTAGTGTAGTATAATATATATATAATATAAATATATATATACGTCAATAGTTTTGGCTTAACATTGCCCTCTAAACCCTTCACCAACAACCAACGAACCATCCCTGGCGGGTCCGGAGCCATCCCTGGCGGGTCCGGGCGTCCGGGCCCCAAGTCTTTCCAGGTGTCCAGGATTTGCGTCAGCAGATTCACCTGCAGAAAAAACAAACAGCGAATCAGCGAAGAGAGATGGATGTCATGTATGGGTAAATTAGAAAATAACTCACTAACCTGAAATAAGATGGTTTTGAATGATTCCCTATACTAACATATACTAACCATCATTCCCTTCACAACCATGATCGGAGGTGTCTTGGGGGATCCCCAAGTCACCATTGGTTTTAAGACTAAAAATGGTCTCATGACTTGGATGATTTCAAGATACCTCCATTTTAGGAAACCTCCATATGTAGGATAACACATGTTAACTATAGAACTTGTGGTCACTTATGGATACTTATGGATACTTATATATCCAACATGAACAAATCCACCAGGAAACCACATGTTCTGGAGGGGATTGTCAGTATTATTGGAAGCATCGAAGAAACCCCTGCAGCCTCGGGATGATTTACCTGCTGGACGACATCATGACGCAGTAGAGGTTAATTGTAGGATCCTATTGATCAAATTGTCATTGTTATCATTCATAATATCGTTAGCATTGTTATGATATGTTATGATGTTGTTTATGTGGCTATGGCAAAAAAAGCCCTGGCACCCTAGGTACCTCAATTAATCGCTGGTACAGCTGGATGTTTATTCCCCAAGTCATAATATGGTAATTTCGATGGTAATTTCATAGGTAACTTGACCCATCCCCAGGTCAAGTTGGGTATCTTTATTGATCACTGTTAATCAATATTACAATGTGAGGCCCCCAAGATAGCGTTCAGTTGGTGAACATAACTCCAATTTCACTATGGTTTATGGTACGCAAATAACGAACTAGTTACTGGGGCGAGTCTAAACCAACTTGTAACTGGGGGGCCTCACATTGTAATAATCACCATTAATGAGTGGTCATCCCCAATTATCATGGTTGCGGATCCCACAACATTACCAACACTTGCAACACTATGCCAACACCTGCACCCAGCTGGCACCTCGCTCTTCAATCCATGTTGCACCCTGTCAGCTATGAGTCAAAACCCAGACACATTGGCACAGTGGTGAACACCAAAATTGGAAATCCACCTCTCATCTGCGAAGCATACTATTGTTTACAGTCCTTCGTTTCTGGTTTTCTACTTTGATTTGATTCTTGGAGCAATTTGAAACAATTTGATACATACTGTACAGGTTGAGTTGATTCTCGGACCACATGACACATCAGCAGTGGACACCAAAATCGAAGCAGAAAGTTGTCCCTTAAGATCTGAGTCTGGAAACAATGAGCTCTCGCTGGCTTCGCACCAGGTATTGGTTACCTTCTGGTAATTTAACATAGCTATGGAAAAATCCACCCATTTTTAATGGGAAAATCCACTATTAATGGTCATTTTCAATAGCTACGTTAAATTACCAGAGGGTATTTAACGGGATCTAAATCAGCATGGGATTCTCATAGGCTCACCAGCAAAGCGGCTAAGCTCCTTCGAGAAACGCCGATGTTGCCGATGTTTCTTTCTCAAAAAATGCAGGTGAACCATACAAGGTGGTGCTCCCAAGATAGCTAAGTTGGTTTATAACTCCAATAACTATGGTTTATGGTACTTATAACTATAGTTAATGGGGTTTATAACAGGTGAACTCTAGTCATTATCTGAAAAACACGATCGCTTTGGGTCAATGACATTGAGCCAATGCCACATCTTCTGGTTATCAAGCCTGGCACGGGGAAACCGGTCTTCATTCTTTGTTCACCATTTTATTCCCCACGGCTGACCAAAGAATCACACACAATAACCTTGTCAAATCACAAAAAACTCCAATCACACTAATTGAATATTAACATTATGTTTTCGATAATTCCCCCAGTAATAACAGTTTCCAGCAGTCCTTTTCAATCTCTTCACGGCCTGCCCGGTCCCCTTGGATGTTCCGTTTCGCCTTTCGAACTTCTCGGCTGCGCTGGAACGCTCATGGTCCGGCAAAGCGGCCACCTGGCGGCGGAAAGAGCCTGTTTGGATGCAACAAACATGGGGTAAAGCAACCAATTCATGGATTTTAGTGGGATCTAGTGAATTTTAACAGGATTTAATGGGAGTTAATATGATTTAAATGGGAGATCATATCTAGTTAGGACATATCAAATCAACTTTATATTTATTACAACTTGGTAAATTGTGGGATTGAACTCACCCAATTTATGGGGATTTAACTATCACAAACGAAGTTTAACATAAATTAACCTATTGACAATGGAGTGTGTGTGTGTCTGTCCATCAATATATATCTATAAGATACTTATATATTATATTGCAACTTTTAGGGGGAACATGAAGATTCAAACCATCATTCATCATCAACCACTTCCCATTTACATTTGATAAATCATGATAAATCTCCATCTCCTGGGGAAATGCCAGAGTTTCTCCTGGTTTTTCCTAGAAAAATCATGAAAAATCCCACTTTTCTCAGGTTTTTCCGACAAAATCCCACGTTTTTCGTACATCCTCCGGGAGGCCCGGACCAGTTGCTCGGCAGAGATGGACAACACGGCTTCATAGCGCGCCTTGGAGGCCTGCGAGCCACCAAACCACCAAACAGGTAAGAATAGTGCGCTTAAAAAATGGCTTTTCATGGTTGATAGTGGCTTTTAATAGTGGTTCATAATAGTGGTTTAATAGTGGTTCATAACTAATAATGTTGGTTAATAATAGCTTTCAATAGGTTCATCATAATGGTTAATAATGGTTAATAATGGTTAATAATGGTTGATAATGATTAATAATGGTTAATAATGGTTAATAATGGTTCATAGTGGTTAGCATGCACCGTTATTATGGTTCATTAACATGCATTAACAATGTTGAGTAATGGTTATTTTGCTTGTGCTCCACGGTGCATAATAACTAACAATGCTTCATCATGGTGAGTGACAATGGTAATGGTTAGTCACAATGGTTGACAATGTTGGTAGCGGTTCATGAAAACAATGTGGTCACCCAAATGCCATGAACAACTAGCATGACTGGGGATAGTTACCAAACCACCCGTAAATTCATGGTGATGACTTGGGCATGGTTTATGACTTTGGGGAATCCACATGATATAAATTTGGATTTCACTTGATTTACTGTAACCAGTGAACATCGGAAAATAGGCAGTCAAATTTGGGATTCAAGTAGTAAAAAAAAAATGGTATGTAGCTTTTGAATGCTTTTGACCAAGGAAATATGACTAGAAATTGGTATTATATACACCTTGGAACTTCACAAATAAAATTAATTCGGTTAACTATCCAAAGTGGTGGTTTAGCTAGAAAACATGGGATAGTTCAACCATCAAAACTGAGATCTCACCTTACATGGGAGATCATAACTTCATAACTTCGCGTCAACAGCGCAACCTGCCAAAAATCGAGTTCACTCTAAATTACCGGAAAAAAAACATTGTATAATATTTGAAAGCAACAAAGAGTCAGAAAGGTTCACTCTTTCCCGCACCAATTTAACGGGGAAGGCGAGACACGGGATCCTTTCTGGTTGTGTTCCCATCCCGAAGCCCCCACCTCGTAGTTCCCCAGCAAGAGATGCTCCCGGGCCATCTGTGCGGGTCATTGGGGGTACTCTCCCACAAAAGGGATCACCTAGAAGCCATCCATCTGTCGCTCTCAAAAATGGCTAGCCGAGAACTTCAAAACCAACCGATCAACCAGTTTCAAGAAAACATGAGGGCACTGAAGTGACCATCTTTCTCAAGTGTCTCTTTGGCCGAATGATGTCTGGGCATCTGCAGTCAATGGATTGCCATGTCGCATACTTAAAACTAATTCCTCCGCATAAAAATGGTTCAAGGTTACAAAAACGGCAAAAAAAAACGATAGATTCTAAACATATTACAGCAAAACATCCTACAACATCCTAAAAGCAATGCTCAAATCCTGATTTTTGTGGCCTTCCATCTTGACCTTCACCCATTTCTTCACCCACCAACTCGCACCTTGATGTCTCGCTCCACCTCCCCCTGGCAATTTCCGGGGGAATTCTTGGATCAGATCTGACCTAAAGTGGTAAGCCCAATAATAAACCCCCCAAATGTGGAAATCTGGGTGGTTTATACCATTCATTTCTCATTTAAAAAAAAAAAAAACACATAAAAAGGTGATGTTTTTTGGGGCTTAAGCCACATATGATGTGTATGAGCCTGGTTACACGCTTGCAACTTATTGCCCCATGATACCCCATCTAGAGAATCTACAACAAGTCTCAGAGGATATCACTGTGGGGAGATGCCTTTGGCATATCCCCAGAGATCTGATGCTCTTTAACCGCCGATCATTGAAAGACATGGCTCACGCCATGTAGGAAAAGGGCTATGCTTCAATTGTGGACAAACACGAAAATCGCATCCAAAATATCTCCAAAATGATCTCTGTTCGTTCTGATCAATTGGCTATGTTGGGCGAAAATGTTGCGCCGGGGACACAGCATTCGCCGGTCTCCTCATGGTGCACAGAGAAATGGCGCGGCGGACCGTGCCCTGGACCTTGTTGGGATGTTCCAAATTTCCATGGATTGGTTGAAAAATGATGCTACGGATTGTACCATGGTACCACTAAAGGTTTCCTCTGTTCCCACCTCCGGGGAAATTCAGTGGGATGTCCAAACACTCCCTGCAACTCGCGTGCATTTGAGTTTGGGGCCTTTTGAGGTCTCAGAGTCCGAGTCTTAAACCATGTGTTCTTTGTATGTTTGTACCTTGAAAGTTCTGCAGGTACTCCATGGAAGTTCGGGGTGTTGAAGGTTGACCCCATGCCCAGTGTCTTTGTTTAATAATTAGGCTGTCACAACCGGCACTCATGGCTTCTGACTACTCCCTGCAAATGGACATAGTTTAAATATGTTTAAATGAACATTTTTCAGGCCTCCCATTAGGCCTGCTTTGGACCTCACATATTGAGCAGAAAGCTGCGGTTTTTTTTGTGCTGATCAGAGTGAATCCCACAGCAGCCTGGAGGATGTTGCTCCGCTACTGAACATCCAAAAATAAACAGAGCACAGTAGACCAAAATGAGATGGTAATTGTTCATGCAATCAACTAGCAATCAGGTTTGGATTCCATTTGGAACGAACCTCCATCTGGAACTAGTCGCGGTCACCGACATGCAATGCTTTCAGCAGTGCTCAAAGTATGTGTTTTCGCCCCTCTAATGGTTGGCTTGTTACATCCATTCCCAAAACAGACAATGAAAACGAATGCTTCATCCCTGTTTCATTGGTTTACACATGCAAAAAACACCCATCAATCGTGATGGTCGGGGTATCTCGTCAGCACGCAAGCCAATCATCTCAACATCTCATGGCTGATCTGACATAAACATCATAGAAACCAAAAAAACGATAGGCATAATATAGAAATATGTCAACCTATTGCGGCAAACTATTAGCAACAAACCTACCCTAAACTACCCATCACCAGCAACTGCCTCCCCAAATCTTTTTTGTCCCGATCTGCTGAATATCGGACCGCGTCTTGACTTCGTCGTTTGGAGATTTTTGACCTCGTCAGTTGGGAAGTCAGTGACAGTAGGTTAGTGAACATGCTTAGCAAGCAAGTCGGGGTTCGTTACAAATTATATCAAAATATAATAATTATATAATATTATGCAAATTTCAGGGATGTCATAAATTGGAATCTCGGCCTACCCTTTCTATATGGGATTAACGACTATAGAAAGTTGGGACTTACAGCAACCGGAGCAGTTGGGGGATGTTCAAGCAATAACAATAGGGCCTCGTTGCACCAGCGGAGAAATTCAGCGGCCAGACCTATCCAACGATTTTTTGTTTACAGAGAACCAGACAATGGCAACCATGGAGAAAACAAGGCGGTAAAAAAAATAATGTAGATCAAGATTTGTCTGGTAGATTGAAGTCAACAACTGTCCATCCGGCAAGACCACTCGAACACTGTGAAGGTTGGAATCCAACTTCTGGGCAATCTGCCTGTGAGTGTCCACAGCAAGGTCAGACCCACTCGCTGCAAAGGACAGCACCTCATGCCCAGCCAAACTCGAGCACGTCAGCATCAACGCATCATCTTGACAAGCAAGATCCAATTGCAGCACACCGACAGGGTCGCTGAAACGTAGTCTGTCATGACAAGTGTAGCGACGGGGAGCAAAACTGAGCAACTCACGCCACGGTTTCAGAGGGGGAATGTTGCACTGTCCAAATGGATTGTCTCCGCAAGCTACAGCAGCACCATCACTTTGGAGGAGCACAGTATGCACTTCTCCTGCAGAAACCTCAGTGTATGATATGTTTTTATCCAAAGTCGGAATGTTACACTGATCATCATCATTGGCTCCACAAGCAACTGCAGTGCCATCACTTCGAAGAAACACAGTATGCACGTCGCCTGCAGAAACCTGGGTGTATGATATGCCTTCATCCAAAGGTGGAATGTTGCTTCATTGTTTCAACAAGCAAGAGCAGTACCATCACTTCGGCGAAGCACTGTATGACCCTCACCTGCAGAAACCTGCGTGTAAGACATGCCCTCACCCAAATGTGGCATAGTGCATTGTTGGTATTCATTGTTTCCACAAGCCACAGCGGTACTATCACTTCGGAGAAGCACTGCATGATCGGCATGATCCCCACCTGCAGAAACCTGTGTGTAGGACATGCCTTCATCCAAAGGTGGAATGGTGCACTGTCCGTCTTCGTTGTGTCCACAAGCAACAGCAGTACCATCACTTCGGAGAAGCACTGTATGATCCCCACCGGCGGAAACCTGTGTGTAGGACATGCCTTCACCCAAAGGTGGAATGGTGCACTGTCCGTCCTCATTGTTTCCACATGCCACAGCAGCGCCATGACTCCTGAGCAGCAGCAGCAGCAGCAGAAGCACAGTATGTTCACAACCTGCAGAAACCATGGCAAAAGAATGAACAAATATCAAAAACAAATTGCTCAAAAATGCTAAGTCTTGAGCCAATAGTTTCGAATCGTCCACCAAGTTGAGTCAATTACTGTGCTTGAAGCATCGCTTGGGTGTTGAAATCCGACCCAGAGATGATGAAACCCTGAAACATTCAAGCTGAACGATCCATTGGAAAACCCATCAGGAATCCAAATGGGTCACCAACTCCTTGGGGGAACTTGGGAGTACAGCCCGTCATATGCTGCTGGGAACAGTTGCAAGATTCTTTTCAATGGAAGACGTCTGGGTGACTCGACCCAAACATATTAAACAGGGAAGCGTATCTGTCAACCACTAGCACGCCCTAACAATCCGTTCAGTACATATGTAACTACATAAATACATGCTATCACTATCTACATGAATATTTTTTACATCATAATTGATCTTTGGGGTACTCATATCTTTAACCCACCCCGGTGTCAACTGGGCCATGGACGCAGCATTGGCAGCTGCTCTCCGCATGGCTTTCCCCCGTGCCAACCGTTACTTCAAGCAGGAAATGATGATGTCTCAATAGCTCCAAGGGGTCCCTATGAATCACAGAGTTGGAAAGGAAACCTCTGAGTTTGCCCAGCGAAGCCAATTTGGAGTCCGTTCCCTGTCTGGCACCATGTGATCCATGTGTTCTTTGCTGTACCATGGAAGCTCAGCGCACTCAGAAAGTTCCGTCAGTAACCATGCCAGAGGTACATCAATAGCCTCCGGACATACCACGTGAGCACTGCTCAAAATCTGTGTGTTCCACCTCTAATGATCCATTCCTAAAACAATTGATTAAAAATCATCATCTGCATTGAGCCCGATAGCATGCTCCCGGGCCAAATCACCCATCATTTCAAGATTATAAAAATAGGTCATATGAGCCATGCACACATGTCTGCAGGTGAAATACCCATGCGTTTTGGTTGATCTACCGATTTTTTGGACACTATGGTCATCATATACAATATGGCCAGCAACCTGTTCATCCCGGTTACACAAATACCTATCAACCTAGGTCAAGGTAGCTGCTGAGCACACCTTGAAGCCATCTCAACATCTCATGGCCAACCTTAGGATATCATATTCATATATATATACATACATACATATGAATATCACAGAAAACAGATAGCTGGGCATGACATATTCCCCCATTGTGGCAAACCCAACGTACATCGTTGACCCAAACTCACCTGCGCCCCGATCTTTTCGCAGCGATCCCTTGATGGTCTCGTGGCGAAGTTAGCTCTTCTTTTTGGCCTTTCCCTTCGCCTTGGGCGTCTTGACCTCGCAGGCGTGTCCTGGGGGTCATGACCTGGAGTTATGTTGGGAAGATAGTATACCCTCTGGCAAACGTTTACATAGCGAACTGGAAAACCAGCATTTTTAATAGGTAAATCAACTATAAATCGCCATGTTCAATAACTATGGTTAAAAAAACCAGGTGGAAAGTCTTGTTGTTCTTGTTGCAGATTGAATATAATATGCTGAAGTCTGCTCGGGATTTGAGCCTGCGAACCATGAAAAATAGCCCGGGCCCCGATCCTATCCCATTATACTGCTTGGTAGTTATCACCATGGGTAATTTCCAATAATCCCCAATAATCCTTTTGGATAATCCAATACCCATGGCTCATTTCCAATAATCCCCAGTATTGCCAATAATCCCAAAAAATCATCCAATAATTTCCAATAATTCCCTATTGGATAATCTAATAATCAATCAACAGGAGTATGTTTAATGGCACATGTGGCACCAGGGAAGGTCCGGCGAGCTCCAAACCCGAAACAATCCATACATTTTTTTCTGCGGAACCAGGGTTGATGTAAAACCAAATGCAGTATCAGTATGTGTCAATGTATGAACTATTTATGAGATCACATAGTATACATATTATGTATACATGCTAAATCATGATGACAACATATTTCCAGAGTTTTGATGAAGTGTTTTGTACATAAATTCTGCCCGCAGTTGTTGTTTGAATCGCAATTTCGCTTGGTCAAAGCCTGACTTTTTGTGTCGGCAAACCCTGAGATTTGCCCCCAGGTTTGGTGCATGAACCCCAATGTCCATTGGGAATTCGGCTCATTTTCTTGTCTTCAGTCTGCATGTTTGGCAAGACTATCATCATAAATGAATGAAATCCCAATTGTGATGCTTTATTCTGAGGTGTCCTACATGGGCCAAGCCCCCGAATCATCCATGGTATTTTCGGATCTTCCATGACATACCCTCCCCTACTTTGATATGGACGTGGAGGCCAAAAAAACGTCCCACTAACATGGACGTGCATCTGGTCAAAACCAGTAAATTCTCACTAACAAGGACGTGGTCGGCCCAAAATTTCGCTAACAAGGACGTGGTGCATCTGGTAAAAACCATCAAAATTTAGCTAACAAGGACATGGTCCTCCCAAAATTTAGCTAAAAAGTGTAGACTAACATGGACGACTTTTTTTCATATTTTGGTAAGTTCCCCGGGAATGACACCATGGCTGTACACCCAAACCTGACAACGTCTATGTTAACAAAACATTGAGAAGTGAACCCTGGACCCCCTCGGCCCATAGCTGCCATTTTTTGTCGCAGCCACTTCCCCAGTGGCGGGTCTTTGAAGCTGTTTTAACCATGTCTATAAAGGGAAATTAGGCAAAACTGGCCGCCTCTTGCTTTGGAAATGTGCATGGGGAAGTTGCATGACTGACACATGGACAAGTCTACTATCATGGACGTCGCTGACAGGCACAACGGGCGACAGCAGGGAGACGGTTTGACATGGAGATCCACCAGAAGGAGATTCTTTTGCACGTCCCAGCGCCCAGGGAAGGACGACAAGGAAGGGGACAAATAAGGACAAATGAAAAGGAGAGCCTTTAACAGGAGATTCCTTAAATGCAAGCAAGACTATTCTCACAAATTGGGGCTCCTCAATGTCCATGTTAGTCGGCCCACTGCAGTTTGGAGGGCTGCACATGGAGGTCTTGGATTGGGCCCGGGTTGAAGTTGGGACTTTTTGCTGTTTGAATAGAGAAACTGCACCAACTGGCAGCCTCTTGCTTGGGGAATTTGCAGCAATCACGGCCGACAGACTGATGCAAAGGCCACTAACATGGACGTCCCTGGCAAGCACAGCAACATCAGGGAGACTGTTTGACAGGTTGGACAGAGCCCTCACAGGAGATTCCTGAATGTGATCCAGGCTATTCTCACACATTGCTCCCCTCAAGTCTATGTTAGTCGGCCCGGAAGTGCATGGCTGGACCAAAGTTGGGAAACATTTTGAGACATGCCAATGTTGGAAAGCATTTGGAAGCATTGCAATTGTGGAACGACCCAGCTGCATGCCGGAAGGAGAAGGATTTAGCTTGCCAAGGCCAAGGCCGTCAGGATTTAAGGCCTTATGCCCTCTCATACAGCCACATCCTTTTCCAGCGGACCCTTATTCAAACTGGAGGTAGCTTCAGTGACTTTGAGCGCTGGGCTGCGACTGCCAGACTAGCAGGCCTGGAGGATTTCAACTCCATGACTAGTCGAGAGGTTGCAAGCAACTTGACTTCTGTCATGTCAGAGGTTGAGGCAGACATCACTTCGAAGCTAGCTTCGGCCTGTGCGTCCTTGGGCTTGATCATAGACGGCCGGCAGCAAGTTCTAGGGATATGCCTGCGCGGTGTTCTCTGGGCTTGGCCGCGCGGTAGTTGTCCCTCAAGGCTGTGCAGGTGTCGAGTTCTATTTGACAGCATTGATATGCATTGATTACTTTACTTTGCGTGATCCCCACCATTGCATTTGAAAGTGGTATTTTACGACGTTCTTTCAGGCAAATATTTCTGGCATATCTTCTGACATTCTATCTCGGATATCTTCGGAGATTCTTTGCATGTGCTGGAGGTCCGGCGAGGAACTCTGATCCGGAGCTCGCGGTTGAGGTCCGGCGGGGAAGACGCTAGGCAAAGGATGCATCCCACAAAACCTCTGCGGGAAAAAAGCCAACTAGCTTCCTTTCCGGTGCGCTCATCCTGAAACACAGTTTGCTGGAGCCATTTCCGTTTGTTGTGATAAAACTTGCAGGCAGAGCAATCGCTGATATGAGCTGGGTAATCGTGCTGCTCCACATGCTCTTGCAAAGATTGTGGCCCTTCAACGTCTTCAGGCTGCACGGAGCTGCTACTGCCCGGCTGCCACTGATGTCGGAGGCAGTTGCGGACGCATCTGTTTCACAACCAGAAGAGCCCCCCTCACCACCGGACGCAGGACTAGGCGTGTGGGTGCCAGTCTCGGAGGAAGCTGGAGAAACAGAAGCTCTCCGAGGACAACAGGAGGAGCTGGATCTCGAGCTGCAAGAGCTTTTTGAGCTAGAATGGGAGGAGGAGGACGACGACGACTTCTGGCCAACACTGCCTTCGCAGGAGCCAATTTCACAATCCGAACTGGTGCCCTCCGCAGACTCTATCTCTGACTTTTCACTGCCAAGCTCTTGCTCTGAAAATTCTGGCGGCTGGGAGCCTGAATCTGATGCAGCAGCGCTGTCTGTCTGACAAAGGGAGCTTGTCGCACTGGGAGAGGCACTAACGCAACATTGCTCGCTTTCATGCGAGCCTGAGGTGCTCATTCTGCACCCCTTTTGGAGCCACACAGGTTAATTAGAAAGCAGGGCTCTTTCCCAGACCCTCCGCATGAGAGATTCACTCTCAAACTTGGCAAATACAGACTCACAAGAAAGGTTGGCAAAAGCATGGCCCACTCTTGATCCGCAGTCAGCCTTGAATGCCGCACCTGGCCGAAGCTGGCCTTGAGTGCCGCACCTGGCCGAAATCAGCCTTGAGCGCCGCACCTGGCCGACAAGAAAAACCAAGCATCAAAAGACTTCTCCCTGTCTCCTCTGCTTTGGCAGCAGCCGACTTTCGAGGATTAGTCTCGCAAGACCCTTAAAAACTTGTGTCGGGACATTGCTCTCCCAAGATCTAGGAAGCAATCGTTTTGAAGTTACTAAGTCTCCTGACGGTAGGTTCCAGGACCCCGGCCTCAAGATGGTGAGCTGCCTCAGAAGCTGCTAAAAAACATTGCCTGCTAACTGCCCTGCCACCATACCCCTGGTTCTGCAACCTGGAACCAAAGGCAATACTCCCAAGATGGTAAAGGCACCAAGATTGTGCTTGAACAAACGGCCAAGATTCCAACCCCAGCTGCATCCTGCTCCAGACTCCGCGCAACAAAAGCGAGTGAGCCTGCGAGATTTGCGCAGGTTGGAGGAAAGCAAACACCTGAAAGCACCTAAGACTCTGCCAGTTACCGAGGTTAACACCTGCTCACCTCCAGTGCAGCCAGTGAACCCAGCCACCCAAATGAAAACCAGCATAGCCAGCAAGAACTGGGGAGCAACCAGCTCAACTCGATTCCCTGTCCAACCTGCAGCTGCGAAACTCTCACGACGAAGAGCTGGGGATGAGCTGGGGATCCATGGTGAACCTTGGGTGCGGCTGAAAGGTCGCAAAGAAAAATCAGTTACAAGATTAGACAGTCTTGTCCGCTCTCCCTACAGCAGCCGATTCTCGAAGATGGCAACTGATCCACAAAGTTCCAGGACCCCGGCCTCAAGATAGCGGCGAGCTGCCTCAGAAAGCTGTTATAGAAAAACTGCCTGCGAACTGCCAAGCCCCTAGCCCCCGGATCTGCAACCATGTGTTGGGACGCAGCACTCCCAACATGGTAAAGGCAGCAAGATTCTGCCCTAACATTCTGCCCTCACAATTAATTACTGACTACCTCAAGATCATCACTCTGGTGTTCTTTTTCTTACATAATGATTGGAGCTAGCCAGCCTCTGCAAGTTCCGGATAATAGGAACATATAACAACAAAAGCAAAGCCAGCACCGGCAAACATTGAAAATCATGCAAATAAAAGTAAGTGTGCATGTTGAAACTCTAAATCTGGAAGTAGAAACAAAAAATACATTATTTTACTTCGAGTGATCCCCACCATGACATTTATTCCTTTTGTTACTGGCAAATCTTCTCGCATTCTATCTGACATATCTTCTGGCATTCTATCTGGCATATCTTCTGGCATTCTACCTGGCATATCTTTTGACATTCTATCTGGCATATCTTCTGGCATTCTACCTGACATCCTATCTGGCATTCTATCTGGCAAATCCTCTGGCGTTCTATCTGGTAAACATTCTGGCACTTTATCTGGCATACCTTCTGGCATTCTATCTGGCATTCTATCTGGCATACCTTCTGGCATTCTATCTGGCATATCTCCTGGCATATCTTCTGGCATTTTATCTGGCACATTCTATCTGGCATATCTTCTGGCATTCTACCTGGCATATCTTCTGGCATATGTTCTGGCCTTAGCACGAACAAAACGCAGAACGCAAAACGCACGTTCTGGAACGCACGTTCCGAACGCAGGGGGTGTTTTAGTGGTTTTATGGATCCCAGAAGCCTCCCCGTCCTTTTTTTGCTCCTTGCAACAAGGATCCGCTGCGTCACATAGAAAGTTTCAACAGTGTTTCAAAGTCTTCTTGCACTACGATAAAATTTGTGAGAGGTCAGAATCCTTTCCTTTCAGAGAAAAAAAGGATCCGGGAAGGAAAGCTAACTTGCCCCACAAGCCTGGTGAGGCCAGAACCTTTTTTGCTTCACCCAAAAAAGGATCCGGAGTTGGGAAGATCAACTTTCTGGTGGCTTCATACAACATTTTGAGCCCATAAGAGCTCTCAAAATCCTTTTTTATTTGGGGGGAAAAAGGTTTCAGTGTCCAGGCCCAGGAAATAAGTTAACTTTATATCATTGGAAAAAAGGATTCACTCAGAACGTGCGTTCTGGAACGCGAGTTTTTAAAACGCGCGTTCCGAACGCCCAACCGTACCGAACGAACATGCTAAGGTTCTGGCATATCTTCTGGCATTCTACCTGGCATATGTTCCGGCATATCTTCTGGCATTCTACCTGGCATTCTATCTGGCATATCTTCTGACATCCTATCTGGCATATCTTCTGGCATTCTATCAGGCTTATCTTGTGGCATTTTATCTGGCATATCTTCTGGCATTCTATCTGACATTCTTTCTGGCGTTCTATCTGGCTTATCTTCTGGCAGTCTATCTGGCCGTTGAGGTCCAGCGGTGCCCACTGAGCTCGGAAGGTCCCAGGTTGAGGTCCAGCGGTGCCCACTGAGCTCGGAAGGTCCCAGGTTGAGGTCGGTGCCCACTGCGCTCAGAACCTTGCGGTTGAGGTCCAGCTGTGTCGGAAGCCGGCAGTTGAGGTCCAGCAGTGCCCACTGCACCGGAAGTTGGCGAAGAGATTGGCGAAGAGTTGGCAAGGCGGAAGTGGACATGGAAGTGGATGCAGAGGTGGCGGAGGAGAAGCTGGAGGACGAGGAAGAGAAGAAGAAGGAGGAGGAGGAGGAGGAGGAGAACAACTGTGATAAAATCTAACTAACAACCCTCACCTGGCAGGTGGGGAACAACAACAGTACCATGCTTCCAAAAAAGTCCATGTGCAATCAACGAACAATTTGAAACAATGGGAAAGGATGGACACATCATTGTGAACCATCTGCAACTGGTTGGTGGGAGTAGCGGCAGTGACAAGCGGAGATAGTTCACCAAAATTCTAGGGACTCATATCTCAACTACTCCCAACTAAGGAAGATAAACATGCCATGGTTTCAGCAAGTTACAATGGCCATGAACATCACTTTAATCCTGCATCCCCTCCTAAAGCAATCGTTGATAGATAAATCCTTATGTTTCATGCGTGTCCCGTTTGGAGGGCTGCCCAGGGATCATAGGTGTTGACACCGTCACAGATCACCAAAATGAAAGCTTTGGAGATCTGAGATTGGGGCCGGGTCGAAGTTGTGATTTTTGAAGCTGTTTTAACCATGTCTATAAAGGGAAATTGGGCAAAACTGGCCGCCTCTTGCTTTGGAAATGTGCATGGGGAAGTTGCATGACTGACCCATGGACAAGTCTACTATCATGGACGTCCCTGACAAGCACAAGCGGGCGACAGCAGGGAGACGGTTTGACATGGAGATGCACCAGAAGGAGATTCTTTTGCACGTCCCAGCGCCCAGGGGGGGACCACAAGGGGACAAATAAGGACAAACCAAAAGGAGAGCCGTTAACAGGAGATTCCTTAGATGCAAGCAAGACTATTCTCACAAATTGGGTCTCCTCAATGTCCATGTTAGTCGGCCCACTGCAGTTTGGAGGGCTGCCCAGGGATCATAGTTGTTGACACCGTCACAGCTCACCAAAATGAAAGCTTTGGAGGTCTGAGATGTTTGGCTTCTTACGGCGTCCATGTTAGCTGAATACTGTTCAAAAAAGCCTGTTTGAGTGTCCATGTTAGTGGACCTTTGACATGTGTCACACTAACATGGACGCTTCCAAAACTGGAAAAAGTAAGAAAAACTACTAACATAGTACGTGCGTCCATTTTCTCAATTTTCAGCGTCCAAGTCAGAGTACTGGAGAGTAAATTGAAATAAACTAATAAACCATCCAGCCACTGGGATACCCCCATTGGTAGGATCCCACTGTGGTGCTTCGCCAAATCCCTAGGATCCCTAGGCCACCCCAACAGGCGTTGACTTGGCCTAGCGGAAACCAGCGCCGAAACGCGGCCAGAACTTGCGTTAGTAGGTCAACTAGGTGGGCTTTATGGATGTTTATGATTGTTTATGTTGGTGATGTGATAACTATATAACCAACTACACTAATGGATATTAATGGATATTAATGGTAGTTATAACTAATGAGCAACTAATGGTGGTTGAAACTAGAAACAACTAACTAGGATTTATGGTGTTTCACCAAGAAACCAACGGCCATAACTGGGCCCTACCCATCATCGCCTCGTCCAAAGTCGGCCCTGCACCCGCGGCCAAATCGGCCTGGCCAACATGACTGGGTGATCTTGGGAAAAATGTTCGAACATATTCGATACATGGAATATATGCTATATATATATACATGGGATGGAATACATGTTTATACATATTTAAAGGATTATATCTTGCTAAATATGTTGATTGGGGATGGTTTAAGCAACAACCAATCGTATTCGTACCAACCAAATTCGGATTTGTTTAGCAATACAGTAAAGCATGGGATGATATGAAACACACATGTCGACGCCTTCAAATTCAATCAGATCAGATCGTGTCATTTGGTCCCGAAACGCAGGTCCAATGAACGGGGGCTCGGGAGTGCAATTTTGACCACCGGTCCGGATATCATCGATCCGGTCCGGATCTGACAGCAATAATGGCTAAAAAGTGTGGCTGCCCTCCCCCAAACAGATAACAAACATATACAGTGGCCCTAACAATGGCCCGAATACGGGTTGCCGATGGTTACCGAACGACATTTGGTCAGACTTTGACATGCTGGGAGGAAGGTGCACCTAAATGATTCAGAATGTAGATATTTGTGAGATTGATTGCAAGAACTTGGAGCTATAGAACTTGTTATATATAGATGAATTTAACGTCAAATGGCTCTCTAGTATTTCACT